CTTTAGCAGAAATCTGACTATGTTTGACATGCATTTGACTTCTGTTAGGTGTGAGATGATGCTTCTGGACTGACATGCACCTGCTTCTGTTTTAAGGATAGGGAGTGAAGTGGTTGAATGTGTCGACTACTCCACTTATTTGTGAAGTTGCATCAGCTGGATGCTGATGAAATCTCAGCTCAGACACAGGAGACCCGTTTAGCATTTGCTAGCTTGCATCATTTCTGGCGCCAACTGCATGATACCCAACTTCCCATCAAAGGACGAATACACTGCTCTGCAGTTTGTTCTATTCTGTTATACGATTCTGAGACATGGTCATTAAAAGTAGACGATATGAAGAAGACAGGTTATTGACCATAAATGTCTTTGTTGTATTGCCTGCGTATTGCGGAATCAGTGAGTGAAAAATGTAGACGTTAAGCGAAAAGTACTGGGCATGGAGAGCAAGTCAGCCAATGAGGTTGTGAACCTTCGGAGACTGGGGTGAGTTAAATATGTGTAGCTCATGCAGAGGTACCGCCTGCCTGGACATGCCATGCTAAAAAAAAGTCCGATTAGGTTGAAAGAGAGTTCAGGGTGATCAGACTAAGATGTGACACCAGTTAATGAAGTTCGTGACTGTTACTGTAAGCCGCCTGGGAAGGTGTAGACTACCCGGCTGTGCTCCTGGCAACTATGAATATCAGTGGTTAAAAACCAGTCACAATAGTGCAAATGTATTCACTCCTTGACGTCTTTTAAAGCTTGGATGTTTACACTGACCTTTATCTTCAGATTGTTTGTTCTGTCGTATACCTTTCTCTACTCTGATATCACCCTTTTTCTATTCACTGGTTCTTTGAATGCTACCTTAAAGCGTGGCAACTTAGACGGATCCACTTGTGTTCGAGATTCTACGTTGATTTTGCTTGTCTGTCTGTTATTTGAGATTCTAAGCATGATATCTAATTTTTCACTCCAGCGGTGTAGATTTGTTATTCTTCGCAGTATTATTCATCCATCTTGCTACTATATTCCGTTTACGTCTGCTTCTACTTGTTCTCTCCCCACTATTGATGTCACCTTTCTTTGCATTCTTTTTTATTGGTTTTTGATACCACGAACTGCTATGTTGTTATTTTATTTCCTCCTTTGTTTACTGACTACTCCGTTAATTTGTGCTACCTTCTCCTTTGTTTGTGTTTTGTATTATTCTTTTGCGTATTGAACAAAGTGATACGCGGACTAAATGCGCTATAGATAATTATGTTTTTCGTGTTTTATCAACAACTAGACGAGTAAATTAGATTCTATTGCTGTTGCGATCGCAGATAATGCAGCTCAGCAACCGCATATAAAAAGTGTTGCATCTTGTGTAAACATATATGACACTTCCATTGAAACTACAGTGAAGCGAAGAATTCTTTTCAGGCCACTACTAAGCGAATTGAATAAAGTAGAGAATCTCACACCACTTTCAGGATTTTCATAGTAATTAGTTCAGCAATCGGTGTATAACACTTCCATGATTGCACCCGTAAACAAGGACTTAACTTTTTATATCTGATGTCGTCCCGCTATGCTTTTTGACTTATTATTATTATTTGTCCCTTGGGTTCCTAGTGGAACATAGGGCTTCAGTAGCACGTCTCCATTTCACTGTTTTCTGGGCTCTTTTGAACCTGGCTTCAGGACCCCCAAGAAGCGTTCGTTTCTTCCTCACATGATCTCCTCCATGTCACCCTCGGATGCCCAACTCGTCGTTTCCCATTTGTATTTCACTCAAGGGCGTGGCGTGTGATGTCCCCAAACGGTCTTCTCAGTGTATACTCAATCCAATCCATCTCCACTTTCTTCTGCATATTTGTTGGGTGATAGGTTGTTGATTGGTTCATTGCCAGCGAGAGTTCCTTGTTGCTGATTCTTATTATTCTGCTATCTGATCTTCAGTATCGAGTGAGCATAGGCGGTAACTGTCGATGTATGTCTGTAGTTTTTCGGAAATGCTTTTCGTAACGCACCAAGTCTCTGAACCATATAAAAAGCACAGGCTTGACATTAGTGTTGAAAATCCGGATCTTGTTCACGCTTTATGCTGAGTGCAGTGCAGTAGATCTCTACACTGATATCAGATTAATGAAGGCCTGTCTTGCTTTTTCAATCCTGGCTTTGACGTCCTCATCTATGCCGCCTGTAGCTGAAACGATGCCACCCTGCCTAGGTAGGTGAAAGAGACAACTTCATTTAGGTTTCTCCCGTTGATGGTGATTGGTGCTTGTTGTTATTGCTTGGGTATCTTCATCACCTTCATCTTCTCTACGTTCACCTGAAGTCCCTTTTTTGCTGCCTCTTCTGTCAACTTGTTGGTTTTTACCTGTAGATCTTCGAGTTTGTGCAACATTAGACATCAATCATCATCGGCGGCGAAATTCAAATCTTCTAGGGTCTTTTCACCGGCCCATCTTCTCGCTCCTCACGGTTTCTTGCATGATCCAGTCGACCACAATCAAGAAAATCATAGGTGATAGTAGGCAGCCTTTTCTTACTCCTGTCCCCTGTCTTCACTTCAAAGGCTTCACTGAATTTTCCATTGTGAATCACTCGGCATGTGGCGTCGTCATATAGTTATTGAATGCGGTTGATAAATGTTTGTGGCATTAAAACCGTAGTATTGAAGCAGCTGCCTGCAGAATTTGAGTGCCAGTCGACGCTGTTGAGGACCTTTTCAAAGTCGATGAAGTTGAGGTAGAGAGTTGACTGCCATTCTATACTCTGTTCTATAATGATGCTCAGCGTAGCTTTGCAATTTGATCCGCACATGATTTGTTCTTCCTCAAGCCAGCCAGTCAGCCTGTTCCGGTCGTAATTTTTAATCCGGTGCATCTTTTATTCTCTCCAGGATGATGCGGCTTAATATTTTGCTTAGGGTGGACAGCAGCATGATTCCACGGCAGTCCTTGCAAAGACCTAGGTCTCCCTTCTTTGGGAGTTTGACAACGTAGCCCTTCTTCCAATCAATAGGCATGTACCTTTCCTTCCTCGCAAACCTTCTGCAGTAGTGGTGTGAGCATGTCCGCTGTTGTCTCTGCATCTGTTTTCAGTGCTTCTGGTGGAATTCCATCTTTTCCTGCTGTTTTCCCGGATTTCAGCAACTTTATAGCTTTCAGGACTTCACTTTTGCTTTTGTCAGAGGGTTTGCGTTTACTGATAATTCTGTGGCTGGGCTGCTGCTGATATTTCAGGGCAAGTTGCAAGTGGTTGTGGTGGTCGATCCAAGAGTTTTTTGAGGTGGTCAGCCCATTGTTTCTCCTCTTTGGTAACTAGCCTTCCTTCACTATATTTCATTGGTTTCATCTGCGTTGGTTATTTGATATCATGTTGTCAAGTCTCTCCTACCTGCAGCCTGTTCTGCTTCACTTGCCAGCGTATCATAGAAGTGTCTTTTGTCTTCGTGCGCACTCCTCCTTACTTCTTTGTCCAGTGTTTTATAGGTTGTATAAAGTTCCTCTTTTCGTTGTTCACTGCACTGGCTCATCTTCCTCTCCCTCCTCCATCAGATCCCATGTGTCCTTCGAGATTCATTCCTTGCCTTGCTTCTTCCTTCCTAATACGGTTATACAGGTTTCTTTCCACATCTCTTTCAAAGACTTCCAGTGTTCTTCCACGCATGTTCCTTCGAGGATGTTGCTCTCAATGTGTTCTCATTTTGTCCTGATGGCTGATGTTAAGATGTCCTTTGTAGTTTCTTCCTTCCGTTTCTATTCTGGGTGTTGAACTTGAACTGTGGTGTATCATCAACTTCTTTGGAGGCTTTCACCTTTGTTTTCAAGGTAGGTTGCTTGCACTAGATAGTGAGTGGTGTGAACCTATATCTGCTCCTCGTTATCTGATCTTGTGTCCAGTAAACTGCGTCCCCATCTTCACTTTTTTGAGATTGAGATGAAGTCGATCTGATTTTTAGTGTAGCTGGTGTCTGGTGAAATCCATGTCGCTTTGTGAATATGCTTGTGTTTGTATACAGTGCCTCCAATCACCAAGTCGTTGAATGCTCAGAAGTCCGCATATAGTTTTCCATTCTCACTCACCATTTCACCGAGTACTTCTTGACCCATGATTGGTTCTCTTCCTATATTTTCCGCTCCCAGTTTGCCATTCGTGTCACTCCACCCATTTGAATTTTGATGTCGCCAACTGGAGTATTGTCTAGTACTGATTGAAGTTGTCTGTAGAATTCCTCCTCTTGATTTGCATTATTTGTAGGTGCGTAGCATTGAATGACTGTGACTTTCCTTCCTTTTGGGTTGAATCTTGCTGTCATGATCCTGGAGATCGGTTCCTACTGCATGGGAGCCTTCGATGCTCTTGGGGACATCGTGATGGCCACTCGAAAACTCAGTGTGCTCGTGGTTGTCGTTTGGGTGACAATATCGGAGTAGATTATTGACTTTCCATTTGACAGTTTGGAGAGTCCACTTCCATTCCATCTCCGGATTCATCGTAGATTCTTGGCACTTCTGTGTCATACCTTCTCATCTCCTTTGCAATCTGGGCAGCCTTCCTAGGTTCAAACATGATGCGGACATTCTATGTCCCCATTCTTACTTCCGCTGTCATCGAGAGAAGACACATCGGCCAATTAGCTTCCCGAAGACTCACCAACCAGCGTCATTTCGTCTCCCCGGTTCCAGCGAGGAATAAGTTTTTTATTTTCAACATTTTCTTTGTGCTCTGAGGTTTCTTTAGTGATAGTATTGGTTTTGCGGCGTAGGGTTGCTAGCCGTGTGCCCAACCTTCCCTCTTTATCCGGGTTTAGGACCGGCTGGTAACTAGTGAACAAATTAACCTAGCAAGGTTGGTTTTTGACTTAAAGACGATTTTTAAAGATTGTGTTCACTTGCAACAGTACTTGTGTTTTTACCAATGTATGATATGACTATTATCATCTGATTTACGTCTGTGATTTTCATAAGGATGTATTTGATTTTCAGTAGTTACTTTGTTTTTCCTACTCATTTCAGGATGTTGCTGGTCTTCATGCATCCAAAGAAGAAGTTATGGAATTTGTGTCTTATCTAAAAGATCCTCAAAGGTACCGAACCCTGGGAGCTAAACTTCCGAAGGGAGCACTTTTACTTGGTCCTCCAGGAACTGGAAAAACGTTGCTTGTATGTCCAGTGTACCTATTTTTTTTTGTTAGTTTGAATGTATTTCCATTTTATTTAGATTTACTAACTGTAAACTGTCGTATTTGAGGAAAAGAAATCTCAGTATTACACCCTCACCTACGATGTTCATTTATCTCTGCTATTTAGCACTAATTGACTAACCATAAATCTTTTTCCTCTATAAAACATAGTATACCTAAAATGTAATTACATCCGTCTTCGTAATCTTACTTCCGAGGTTAATATTTCTTAGCTTAATATAACTCTTTATCAGTTATGACTTGAATAATATTCAAAAACAGCAAAGCAAGCAGATTCATCTTATGTACAACCTCTTGACGGCAGAAGAGGATTGTGGGGCTAATCTTTCTTGGTAGGTTATGCTCCAAAGTATATGGATCGTGAATAGGATATTTATCACTGTGAACACAAGATGGTTGATAGAATATGTATTATCCTATTATCAGTTCTATTTTGAATTATATAGACTTTTTGTATTGCTGTTCTCTTTTTGTCATTTTCAATTTGTAAGATCTTACTACCGTTTTATAGAAATATGTCAGGATTCTGACTTGCTTTTATCGACTAACCAAATATGAGTAAAATCTTCTTTCTTCACTTACTGTTCAGGTCAAAGCATTGGCTAATGAAGCTGGAGTTCCGTTCTTTTCAATGGCTGGACCACAATTTGTGGAGCTTATTGGAGGGCTTGGAGCTCTTCGTTTACGACAACTATTCAAAGTTGCTCGATCGCAACCATCAGCTATAATATTCATAGACGAGCTTGATTCTCTTGGACGGCGTCGTATTTCTGTTGATACTGGAAAGTAAATACTTTAACTGTTATCTATGTTGATCTTAGTTTACACCTCTGTATTTCATAGTGTTCGCAATGCTTCGTTATAGTTGTGAATGTCTGTAGCTAAGAAAATCCATTTACAAATGGAAGTGTACAATGAACTTAGATTGTTTTTAATTCTGGACTGAACATGATGTCTAGTGATATTTCATCAACCGATTTCAATTCGGAGTATATCCCTGTTTTGAATATTTCATACTGACTGTTTGTATCAAGTGTTCACCGTAATTAGTAATATTATTTCCTACTATTTTGGCTAGATATGCCACAACCTAGTGAGTAAACGTTGTATAGTTCTCCTTTTAAGTTTATAAAGGGTTAGTTTTTTTCTCAGAAAAGTGTTAGGTAGTAGTGTTCACTTTTTGAATTTGTAAAGTCGGGAAATACCAGTTATCATTTTGCATCCTAATAATTTAAGCTACTTTCGATGGTGGCCATAAAAGTTAAAGGTTCTAAGGTCGATCTTTTAATCGGGTTGGTGATAAGAACCTCTATATTTGCAAAATATGATGAAAGTAGCTCCTTTTGACCGATTCAGTTAAATTGAAATCCTGTGCTGGTTCACTTTTTTTTAAAGGTTGTAGGTATGTCCATATCTACAGATCTGCGTGATGGTAGTAGGAAACTCCTGATGACACGATTCAAAATAGATTAAAGTGAAGCTGACACATTCACTCCCTATCTTCGTCTTAGCTGTTGTACTACATTTTCTTATTTGCTTTAACGCACTTTCTTTTCACTGTCATGGCTTTCTACGACTTTTGGTTGTATTATCTACTCTTCTTTATCTTTCCTCTCTCTGCCTTGTAGCTTGGTGTGCTGATGTAAAGTGTGAGACAACCTAGAATGCTTCAAAGTAGCTCCATGTCTCATGTCAATCTAGACCTAGTGACTGAGGTATATGTATATTTTTGTTTGAAATCATTCAGTAGCGTGAGAGTGAACTTGTAAGGAATTTTGGAACCGTTAACCCCAAATATGTGAGATATCTGACTACATATCGAAGAATGAGTAAAGTGCACCGCACTCCGTTCTGTCCTGTTATGCTGTTATAAAACATTGGTCCAGAAAGTAGATGTGAAGAGATTACAGGTTTTGCACCATTAGAGTTTTCTCGCAGCGTTGCTCGTGAGCGGTAGAACCACTGTGCCGAGCAGTGTCGAGGTTAGGTGCAGCGTACTGAGCAAGCATGGAGAGTGTCAGCGAATGAAGTTGTAAACGTCAACTGGCTGAGATAACTTGGACATATGTTGCGCGCATTTCTCATTTGAACTTTTTCTTATAACACTTGTAGAAAAGGTTTTGGTCGTCGCGGCAACCGCGACTCTAGTGGTGCATCCGAAATGGAACAAACTTTAAATCAACTGCTTGTAGAAATGGATGGAATGGACACAACTGAAGGTGTTATTGTGTTTGGAGCTACGAATCGTGTCGATCTTCTAGACGAAGCCTTGCTGCGTTCAGGACGATTTGACAGGCATATTTTCATCGACCTACCAAATGTGGCCGAACGAAAAGAAATTTTTGCCATGTACATCGGTATGGAGCACCTGTTTATCACAGTGTTGTGCTCTTTACTTTTCTACTGCTTATTATAAATTTAGTGCTGTAATGTAATTTTAACTACTGCAAACAATTTTATGAATATACTATAAATCACAGATAGGTCAACAAACATCCCACTTCTGTTCGAACAATCGGTAGCATCATAAGCCTTTATTCAATGAGTTTGGCTCATAGTCTATTACGTAAATAGGTACTGAATTGAGTTACATCTATGTATACAAAATTATCTTAGATCTATACATGCAGATAAATCACTTCAATCTGCCACATTCACAAAGAGCTAGCGAAAAAATTATAGAGGTGAGAGAAATTCAAATGAAGATTAGCAACTATTCATTGTTAACATCTTGATAACCCCAGGCAGCCTACATTCCTACAGAGATGAAACTAATAGTCCAGGACTTCATTGATCAATGTCATATCTTTCCTAGTTACCTGTAGCTTTCTAAACCTAATCATACGATAGCTGAGGCTGCACTTCAAGGTAGACAGTGACTCGACATGCGTAACACGTGTCTCAAACATCTACATCTGCTGTCGTTTTCACTTTCATCTATTGATTTGTATTCCTTATTTAGCGCTCTGCACCTAACCTCAACGTTACTCACCCTTGATTTCACAACATGCTGACAATACAACGTAGACATCTGTGATGAAAAACCTGAGGTACTCCTGTCTTCAACTTTCAACGACCGCGTCTTGCAGCCGTAAAGCAACAAACTGCCGTCGGGTGCGCTCGACCTTCAGTAGATAATCATATATAAACTGAAAATAAAGATGGCGGAAGCTGGCAAATGTCAAGTGCGCCTGTCACATTCATACCTAGGTTTTTCTGTCACCGATCCGCCAAGACCGATAAAATTTCACAAATAGGGGAAATGGTCAATACATCGACTAACTGCTCCCCATCGTTAAGCTTAAAAGTTTGTGAAGACCAGTTATGCAACAATAGCTTACTTCAAAAGGGGTGAATCGCGAGCCAAACATACACAGGTTTTGCAAAACACATTAACATGATACTTCATTTTTCAAAGTCTTTGCTTATCAGAACTATATCATCTGTTTGTTTGTATTGTATTCTCTGAGCTGGGTTGTTTAATCGTGAAGCTTTCATCGTCTTTCTGGATGGCATCATCAACACTTACTTCAGTATGAAGTGAGCTGTCAGTCACAAACCACATCGTCACAACAAGCCACTAAATCACTCATGGAGAGATATTGACAGCTCACTTCATACTGAAGTTAGTGCTGATGGTGTCGTCCAGAAAGAAGATGAAAGCCTCAAGATTAAACAACCCAGCTGAGAGAACGCAGTACAACCAAGACTATCCACCTGAGCTACAAATATTCTCCATTATTTATATCGTCTGTTTAGTCGATCCAAAACGGTATCAAATAAATACAAGAGATGCGTAGGTATGAGCAATTTCATCTCCAATAGTACTTCTATAGCTAAGTTATTTAGGAACAAGAATTAGTGGATGTCTCCAGCGGGAACTACTAGTTTTCATCACTTGGAATGATGTCTTTCTGTAAGCATTTTCACAGCTGTCTGTGTGTGGTTGTGGTGGTTTATTTTTAAGAAATCGCATATAATCTGTAATTAACTAAAATATACTTAACCGAATTCCACATCTCTTTTTCTCTGTTGTATTATAATAGGAGTCATTTCACGTTGATATATATGCTGGCAGAAACTCATCATTTTGTTGACTGAGTCATTGTTTCTCGGTATCACTCTATACAATCTTGTAGCTGTTTCTGTCTTAATTTCGCCAAGTATCAGCATGACATATTGAAAATATCAAAATATCAGCAATAAAGACAAGTCTTTCCATTCACTTGTCTAATTCTCAAGATATATTCTGCTTAAGGTTGAATACGATATAAATTGTGGAGACAGTAGTTTTAAAATCCATACTTACAGGTGTGTAGTATGATTAGTAACAATGATGAGTTACTAGGACCTAAGTAATTGATGAATAAAATGAGATGTATGTTCAAAAAAAATGTACACGTTTATAGGGAGTATTCGTTTATTTTAAAGGTGTTATGGCTTTTAATTGCTGATCATTTCAAAACTATGCATTAAAATTTTCTGATGTCTGAAATCATTCATGTTGATAACTACATATGCTTGTAACTATTTATTTCATGTTATCATAATGTCTCGTGCACATCATTTCATTTTCTATTTACAGCTAAATATCAACTTGCTTCTGATGTTGTGCAAGATGAACTGGTTGAAAGATTATCAGGTTGGTGTCCTGGAATGAGTGGAGCGGAAATCTCTCGTCTGTGCAATGAAGCTGCTTTAGTTGCTGCTCGGAGAGACAGTCAGGATTTTGGAGTCACTAAAGCTGACTTTGAAACAGCATTTGAAAAAATATCAGCAGGTTATTTTTCCAATATTTGTTCATATATAATTGTCTTTGTTCACCAAATTCTTATTTGTATAAAAAACAAACAAAATAACTAAAAACCATTAGTTACGTACTGAGTTAGCTAGTCGTTCCCTACATTTATTTCGATGAGTTTTAGTGGAACAAAGCACCTGTTCCTATTCACACTACCCACTTTAGTCACTCTCGTCTGTCATATTATTTGATGAATTTCTGCCTATATATAGTACGTTAAGAGCTATAGAGATGTTTTCATACAGTTAGAACCCTTCATAAATTTTTGCAAGGCAAGAATAGCAAGCATTGAATCGAATACTCTAAATCTTCCTCATACGCACTAAATTTAAAATTGTCTACAGTAAGCTATCAGTATCCAGCATAAGTCATTTGAGGTATATTTCAGTAGTAAAATCATCTTTCACATCTGGATATATATATATATATATATATATATATATATATATATATATATATATATATATATATATATAGGAAGAGTGATGAATGACAAAGTTCACGACCTAATCAGCCAATACAAGGAACAGATAAAATAACAAATCAGACTATAAAGTTGATAGTAGTGCAGCTCAAGGTGGTAGGAATTTTGATTAAATAGGGGAGGACAACAAAGATTGTATGCAGTCTATGAATTAATGGTAGAGGAATGGAAAAGGATGTGCTAAAAATCACGGTTAAAATATAATGGGTTAAAGTAAATTGAAAATGATGCCAATATGAATAACGTTTGAGAATAAGATGTAAGACAACAAGATGAAAGAACAAAATAGTAAATAAAACCATGGGAAAAAAACAATTCACCAAGGCTATACAGGGTAAACCACCAACTTCTTTTGGATACACAAGTTTAGGTTCAGTCAACGGATTACTGCTGCCTCTGTATAACATAGCAATCTACTATTTCTTTTTGCATTGAGTACCTTGAAAGCTATGTTTGAGTTGAGGGCATGATCTGTATCGAGGATGTGTTTACCAATGGCACTGCTTGGTAACCTTCCACCTTTCAATGACAAGCTTTTCAGTACATGTTTAAAAATTTGTTTAGTAAAGACCTTCTCCGTCCTTCCAACATACATGCTACTGTAAGTACAGGTAAATAAATGAATACAATTGGAGGTAATATGAGGAGGTCTCATATCCAAATTAGTTTCTTCTCTGATCATGTTCTTCGTAATAGTAGACAACTGTTAATTTCGCAGCCGGATAAGTTAGTCCGTTGCATGCGTTCAGTGGGCGATTATTTTTTGAATTCAATTTATCCCCTTTGAATAGTAGTCTAATGAACGTAGAGATCTTTTTAGTTTACCATAGTGATGATCTTATATTCCTCACTACGACTACTACTACTTCATCTGATACTTTCAAATATATAATGTTATCCACCTTTTCAAAGAATACTTGGTACTGTTCGCTTGAAAAGTATTCCTTCATTTACTGACAGTTTTGCTTTTTTCCTATCATTGCTTGGTGGGAGCAATACAGATTTCGATACTGATATCATTAGTTTGCATGGAAATGGCACGGTTTGTATTTTTAGAATTTATATGCAGTAATACAAATAATGTTCTATGCTAGGAACCTACCTTTGATATTTGTTACTGTCAAATTATTCTTTAATTTAAACTATATGTCTTAATAGCATCAGTATATTGTGCAAAAATCTTTATCCACTCTGAAGAATGTATCGGCTGAGATAATAATAATATATACCTTTTTATTTTATCAAGTTATAATCGTTTGTAATTATCATTTTAGACGTATATACTGATGGCTTCTCTATTCTTTGCTAGGTACTGCAAAACGTTCAAATCCGCTTACTGCCGCTGAACGTCGTATGGCAGCTGTACATGAATCTGGAAGAGCTCTTGTAGCATGGTTGCTTCCATGCAGTGGACTGTTGCCAGTGAAAGTTTCAATTATACCACGTACAATTTCTGGTCCAGATAGTGTTGGAAATTTAGGTTTTACACAGTTGATATCAGAAGAAAAGTATCTGTTAAATAGGGAGGATATAGCTGACCGCATAGCTATATTGTTGGGTGGCAGGGCAGCTGAACACATTGTTTACGATGCTGTTTCTGATGGCAAGTTTACTGTTTTCTGAGTTCATTTTACACATTTACCTGGCGTGTTTCTATTCGCTCAACTATATATTAGATAACCTGTTTTGAACTAGTGGGTGTAGTTCGTTTAGACGCATACGTTTTTGAGGTTAGGTATTTTAAGTCAATCCACACAAAAAAACCTAGATCTAGGTTTCATGCCTCTGTTTTGCTCATCAGCAAGGTGTATCTCCAAGTCGTATTTCTCGAAGATTTGGTTCAGCTTCACTCGTTGTTGAATCTTCATTACCAAGCTGTTCAAACCGTGAGTGATCTTAGGTAAAACTGGATTGGGCACCAGGTGATACAGGTATAAATCACTGAAGAAACGAGTCTCTGGAAAGGTTCGGATGAATACTAACAGCAATGAAATCCGCATTCATCACTTCCTACCGATCGACTCCAAAATATAACATCAAACCCAGTACACAGTGCCTTATCCTTTGATTTGAGGTTCACATCATAAATTTAGCCAATAAACCTCGATCAGCACTTAGAAGGCAAAGCTAGATTGTTCAACATCGGCTAACCAATTGCACGTACTTTGTAGACGTGTTCTGGATTTTTTTTTAAATGTATCTGTCAGTACTATTGCTATGTCCACTCTTTGTATTTGTTTGCCATTGAACAATATATAAACTCACTAATCTCTACACCGTATGTTTATTTGCCATTGTATTCTCCGTATAGGTTTCATTAATACATAGATATTATAATGCTATCTCGTCACAATATGGGCATTAAGAAGAGCTCTAAGCTGAATAATATAACAGTTATATATATATATATATATATATATATATATATATATATATATATATATATGCGTCATTCTTTATACTCTATTTCATTTACAGTCTCTAAGAAGTATTTGCGGGAAGCTAGTAAATTAGCCATGAAACAAGTACGTCAATTCGGCATGTCAAAGGCTATCGGCAATCTCAGTTTTGATGTAAGTTCTCATATATACTATGGATACTTTATTGCCAGTGTTAGTTATTTCATACTTTTTTGAGCTATTAGTCAACCTTTTCAAGAGTTACTTTTTACGGTAGAATACTTTGAACCTTATGTCATCAAACTGTTCAAATGTATGAGAATCATTGTATCCGAATTTAGTTATTGGTGTACTTGATTGCCTGTTAGTATGCCCCGTAGCTTCTTCTATAACATTTATCGTATCAGCGCAGCTGGCTCTCATGGCTCATTTGGTAGACCACCCGGTTGGTAACCCAGGGGTCGCTGGTTCAAGTCTTGTCGCGGCCTAGGTTTTCATTTCACCTTCAGTCGTCACCCAGTACCAATTAATTATTGATCAGTTTTGGCGTCAGATTTAATTTTTTTTCCTAGTCATCTATCACTTGTTCGGAAACATTAGGACTATACTAATGGATGTAGTGGCGTACCTTAAATATCATTAGCGAACATTTCAGTTAAATGCTCACAGGAATGTGACCAATACAACTTCTCAAGAAAGTGTTTACTGTGAATTTTGATGACGCAACTGATCTCATTATTCCTCCTGGAGCTGTGACTCAGTGGTTTAGGGAGATGACTATCAACCATTTGGCCACGGGTTCGAGCCCCGCTCCATCTACCGAGGTTTAGGCAGTCAGTTAGTATCACTAGCCCTCACACAATAGGTGTGGCTCATTGCCCAATGCACGGATGTGCACAACGTGGCTGGTCGCATTTCGTTTTGTTATTATTCCTCCTGGTTTACTAGGTGTTAGAACAGAACTCATATATCAGCTTTGTAGCAGTTAACAATTTCATTCCAATAATTTAATTAACAATGTAAAATGTTCCCTTTTTAACATTCTTTGCATTCCTTAAATTTTTATAATAACACGATTCGAAATGTTGCAAAGGAGTATATACGTACACTTATTTTGTTGCAATATATCATGCTGAGAATTCCAAATTGTACAAGTTGTTTGGAATAAAGATGGTTACCATTATTATTATTGTTATTATTACTAATTATTATTATTGTTACTATTATTAAGAAAGTTTAACCCAGGTAGCCATACATTCCAAGAATTATTTTGTATATTTTTTTTAATGTTGCAGGACGAATCAGCCAGTGGACAATTTTCTGTGAAACCATTTTGTCAAAAAACTGAAGCTATTATGGAATTAGAAGCACATCAACTTGTAATTTCAGCATTTTCTCGTTGTGTACAAATGCTACAGGAAAACAAGAAAAGCCTGCTAAAACTTGTTGATGCTCTTGTGGAAAAAGAAGTTCTTACTTACGATGATCTTACACAATTATTAGGCGATAACCATAAATCAACAAAAATAAAGCCTCGTTTGTGATATATGCTTTCCTTTTTACCATATTCTTTGTGTTCTCGTCATTGGATGATCGTACTGATAGCTGTTCAACATTTCATTTTTGAGATAGTAGTGAAAATTCGTGGCTCAGCACAAGGATACTAATTGTTTGATGTTCTCCGAACTTTGAAGTTTTCTAATAAAGTCGCTTAGCGTCCAAGAACGAACTTCAAAGCTCAGAGGAACACCAAACAATTGTTACCCTCCATTTTGTTCCGAATACTAGGAGAGATACAACCAAAGAAAGACTTTAGACTGTTAATTATACAAGTTCGAAAAGCGTTGAAACTCCACATAGATTCGTATATTAGACTGTAAACCACAATTGTGTAAAAACTCATAATCTGATTTGGTGTAGGGAAATAAAATTACTTCATGATAAGTATTGTGTTATTTTACTTCAACATTTTTACCTGTAATTGACCTAGATAAGCTTATTGACTATTTTATCAATGTTATGGTGGATGCTATTCATGTAATGTATTTCTACCCCTTCGTGACGGATTAACCTAACGGTTGATAAATTTGTTAACTTTGTCTGTCTTAGACTATTAATCATGGGCAACTGGGACACAGGACTAATTGGCATATTCAACGATTATAGTTCCTAGTATACCTGTTCCGTTTGAATACCTATATTAAACAGTTAGGTCTCTAAGCATATATAGATCTGTTCAATGAGCCACACTTACTTTGTGAGGGCTAATTATACTAACTGGCTACTGGGACCTCGGTAGGTGGGGCGAGATTTGAATTCCATGATCGGTTGAAAATCATTTCCCTAAACCAATCATCCACAGTTCCACTACATAGTTGTATCTAACAGCTTCAATTCATGTGACTTTCTGATAACTCGTAATGTATACTTTCTGTAATAGCCCTCGCTCATTAAAGCAATGCAAAACAGTGGAGACGCCTTTGTTTCTGTTTGGATGTGTACCGCACGTTATAAGCTTGTAGGATCCTTTCAGTCGGATTAACAACACCTGGAATGATTTATTAATTGATGAAAAACGTTTTTATTATCATTTGACTATCTATCTGAGATAGTCGTAGTTTGGCAAACTAGTATTATACTGGGTGATGATTGAAGGTGAGATAAAAATCTCGACCGTGACCGGATTCGAACCAGCGACCACCTTGCGAGATAGTACCGTGCTGTTCTTTGCTCGAAAAGTGAAGCGGAGGTTAGTTTGCAGTGAAAATACTTGATCCTATCATTCTACAGACCCGGTGGTCGCTGGTTCGAATCCGGCCGCGGTCCAGATTTTCTTCTCACCTTCAATCATCACCCAGTATAAATGTTCTTATTTCAATAGGATCTTTAGTTGGAGTATAAATACAATCAATTGTTGACTCCTCCCTGCCGATAATCCCAATTCTCAACTTCAGGATCATACGTCTGTTTTTATTTTTAGAAATAGTTGTTGCCAACTTTATGCAGACTTACAGCGTTCCCATTATCACTCATGCATTACCCAGTTGTGGTGTAGGGTATGCTTGTTTTGAACTATTTTTGCCGTCAAATTCCTCACATTTTTTGGTAGACATCGACGACATACTACCAGGTTGCCGAAATTTTCAGTCACATCATACGAAGGGAGGGAGGAGAAAAAGGCACTTTCAATATGGATTGCTTGCTACAGTTATTTCAGGCTGATTGTCTCACTGACTGATTCATCCGTATCGTCAGTTATCAGTCCGAATTTATTTGACTACAACTTCGTGAATATTCCAATCCCAGACTCGCTATCATAAATCCCTATTCGACATTTTGCACTATGACGTCAAAATGTTGCACGCATGATGTTATTTTGTGACTTGCAAAAAAATGACAGGGAAACTAATACCCTCGAATTCCATTTTCTTTAATAAATCTAGGTAGGAGTTATGGAGAGAATATATAGTGTATCTGTGATGCTTAAAAAATACGAGACTGCGGAAAGCTACGTACATGATGCCTTACACACTTAGTCCCTTTGGATGATAATAAGTTTAATTCACTTCATAGGGTCCCAATCAGCTGTGCATAAACTGGAGTAATAATTACGGTAAGTAACCAACATGCTCTACATGAAGGAGTCTAAATGCTATTTCGTATTCGGGAGATCAGAAAAACATTGAAATTCTACAGTCAAACTAGACATCTTTTATACCGCAGAAGAAGGGATATTATCAGATGAGTGAAACGAGACTGAATTTCAGAGGCCATTACGTAATCTCTTGGGGGCAAGTAGAATGGAAATAAATTATAGCTAGTAGGACGAATGATCGTAATGTTAGCAAATGCAGTGGTAAAAGCAACAGTTAAAGTGAAGTATAAAATTAAGCATTAGAAAGACAGGCGGGAGTTTTCCAAATGACACTGGCTTTTCCTGTTCTGGTACAATTCAAGTCGAATGGCCACAGCTTCAGTATTTTGAAGTAGGGGTGATTTACTCCGCGGGTCAACTGTTGTGAATAACCTTAATGTATCGACCTTTTGGCCTGTATCAAAGCGATGCGCTATCGCGTTTTCCAGAGAAACTGAATCTCTGAGCCCAATCCCAACAATTCTCGTAGATAACTGTTTCTCAAACTTTTATATGAACCGACCACTTCATCCATATGTTAGGTGATATGGTATCCTGCTGCTCTCTGTTCCAAAAGTGAAATGAATGTTAGTTTACAGCAAAAATACTTGATCCTATCACTAATATTCATGTTCCCCTCACTGTAGCAACTGTTACCTTGAGGTCACTGACTTTAATGCAAATTGACCTGCCGTAATCTACAAATTCTCAGTGAAAATTTCCCTTTTCATCGTCTTTATTTTCAAAGCTATACAATTGTATTTTCACACAAGTTGAGTGGAATCGTAAAGTGCTTTAGTGCATAGGTAAGGATAATATCTCATGAATTATCAAACCATTTGAAATATATGAGAGATTAGTAGTCGAAGACGCCAAATACATGAATGAATATGGTGTGATTTAATTGAATGGTCCAGTGGAGATGAAGTGAGACAACAAAATTTTATCAGCCAGGTCTAATGTGTTAAGACAGTAACCAAGAGATGAAAATCTTACGCAGTGAAATAGAATAAAATAAAGAGAAACGAATTTTGTGAAATGGCGAACCAAAATGACAAGGTTAGTTCAAAGTAATGAAACGACCGTGAAAACTGTTTCAGCGCACAGTCTTGTTTAAGATTATGTATCGCCAAGGCATCTGTGATACAGTAGGTGTATGCGTGCATCTTTAAGCAAGTTCGATTTGTTTAAGTAGATAATATCAAGTGGTGATTGAGAGCCTATACGTTTGTAGTCAGCTACACGTTAGAGGCTCGCTACTTTGGTATTTGTATTTCGCAATGAATGATGCTTCGCTACTTCCGATGACAGCCTTACATGTTGATTAATTTATGATTCTACACTCCCCTTTACTCAATCATTCTGAGATGTGCTACCAAACGCGACGGAAATTCTTTCTTGATGAATATCCCATGTACCTACACCTTGCTCAATTTGTTGTCTCACGTAATCTTCACTTAACTACTTTTCAATAGTCATTCATATATTAGGCGTCTTTGACCGTTAATCTTATATTCTTCAATCGGTTTGACAGTTCATTATCCTTACTGACACACTAATTCACTCTACGATCCCATTTATTTCATCGAAGACACATAAATACAAACATAATTATTATTACTTACCCCAACTTAGATATAGGTACGGTTGTACAGTTTTTGAAAGTGAAGTCGATAAAAAGAGAAATTTTCTTCGGTGAAAATTTTCTACATTTTATTGGGGATTATTAATTTGACCTACTAATAATTACAGCTTATCTTTAGAAAATGGCATAACTGTCACTTTTGTTCATATCGTAGCGGAATGTGAATTGGCCTTATACGACTAGCTTACTGGCACTTAACTAGTATGATTGAAAGTAATCCTGTCACAGTCACATGAAAAGATAAACCTTAGAACTCTCCATGATAGATTTGAAAGAACTCTAAGGATAAGGTAAGTAACAATCACCTTTTAACTCGAGTGACTTTTAGATAAATAATGTACTCTCTGTGGCAATTACGTGTATTCAATGATTTTGCTACAGTACAAGTGTTACCAACCTCATCGAGTCCTGCTAGAAGCTATTTAGTTCATTGTATTTTATCGTTAATATTGATAAGTCAATATACAAATGGGGCGTCAGTATTTACAAAAATACGTACAAAATTATAATAACTTTATTTTCTTCGCAGGTGGTTCTACATTTGATATCAGACCATATTCGTACAAATATTTTGTGAAAGAGTTCGATAACTGAAATGATGAAGCGTTTATTTTTTTCTTCGATTGAACCTTAGGAAGGGTGGGATCTTTCTCAATTAGCTGTTTCAATTCAATATTGAATTTTTCAGACGGCAGTTGTGCTAAGTGGTCTAAGGAGATTTCTTCACCGTCAAGACGCAGCTTGTACTGCTTGACCGAAGCGGCACCAGCTCCATGCATACACATGTCATTTCCCCATTCCATAATCAAGTAGGCAAGTTGACTGACCTACAAAAAAAAAGAATCAAGATGTGTGGTCTTATTTAAATGGTAACGCATGTTGACTGAATCCAGTGTGATGAAAATTTCATAGTATAATCATGCTAAAACAAACGTTAGCTGTTGACTGTTCTGCTTATTTGCAAAGTTTTACATCTGATGTATACCGATAAATTTTTTTGGCATGGTGTCGATGGCGAGCTCGACCCCAAACGACTGAAACGACCGTCTGGCGTTACGATCACTCTGATCTGGCTGGTGAAATATTGCAGATCAGCTTCAGCGGTTTCTAACTACTCAAGCTGCTCATTAATAGTATCTTCCGCTAGTTCATGACAGAAATCTCGGCTGAGTGGTTTTCAGCGAAAACTTTGACACCACAGTTGGGCAGTCGAAAAGCTACTCAGCTGTGAAAAATGTCAATGTGGACCGTGCAATTTGTAAATCATTTGCAAATTGATCATCCTATTTCGTGTTAATGTCCTTAAACATAATGACAAAGTAGGCAGTGAAGTGTTCGTCTGCTACATCCACAGTATATATTATCATACGATTTAATCACATAACTCATTGTATGTACGAAATGAAGACATTTGGTTGCAAATAGATTAGGAATTTAGCTATCTGGATAATTTATCTGTTAGAAAATGCGGAACTCTCAGATGACTTAACAACTCCCTTCAAAATATGACGAGGACGTGGATATATAAATACTAAGGATCAACTTTAGTGTTCCCTCGACAGGAGCTGTGGCGCACGGGTTTAGCGAAATGACTTTCGACCGATGGGTCACGGGTCCGAACCCCGCCGCACCTACCGAAGTTTGGGCAGTCATGTAGTATCATTAGCCCTCACACAATAGGTGTGGCTCATTGCCTACTTCACAAGGGTTGCTGAATCCATTTCGATTCGAAAGGCCTTCCTTCAACAGTCTAAAATTGACTTACCTGAAAACAGTTAAATGGTTAGTGAGAAATGTCAGTCCGTAGCTTATTACGCATATTTCAGAAAATAACATGAATTCATATATTCGTTATAGTGACCGGAGAAAGTCATACAAGTTAAGTCATGAAGTGGGATTTCGTGAGTAAATTTACACTTTAACGGTCACCCAAAGTGGTGAAGAGTGTATTTTTGAATAGTGTAATTTTAATCGGCTCATATTTACACAGAGAAAACCACACTATATTGAAGGGGTTCGATATTCAATTTGTCTAATATGTGGTACCCTGAGATGTTAGGGAACAGTATATTACTAAGTGAATATATGACAAAGTTAAAGTGACTTATTCCCGACCGATAGCTGCTACCTTGACGTGGTGGTCGGGCTTGCATATCACAATGACCCAACGAGCTATGCTGGTGGAACGCTTGTTCCCTCGAGGTCCTACCATACCAGAAAGGTCTGTTGGGTAGTGGTTAGACGAAAAGCAGTTACCGTCATAGTGTAAATTGCTACACTATGATGGGGGTCTGAGGGCGAAGTCGTACTGCTGCTAGCTGGATGGGGTGTGACAGCAGTAAGGTGTTTCCCTTGGATGACCAGCAGTGCCAAGCTGATGCTGCCTTCTCAGTGGAAAGGGGGGTTAGAAAAGGTCGGCCCCAAAAATAACACACTCCACCACGCCCCACGGTCTGCCGGGCCGGCGGTGTTGGTTCACTTGTCGTTTCCTTTCGACCATCCGGCCCCAAAAATACAAAAATTCAAAATAATCATACTCAAAAGGCTGGGTGTGACAGGCCTCAAGCAGATGTCCGATGGGCTCTGCGGTCACACAAATCTCTTTCAGGTACCTTAAGAAGAAATAGCCTTCCACGGTGTGGGCAGCCGGGAAGTGTCAACCGCCCTCACAACTCTGTCAGCACCCAAGTTTCTTCTGACTGCTATCCTCCTCCTCCATCATTACCTTCTAATCTTCCTTCACGTCTCTTAATTAATGATGCTGCATCATCTTCAATTTCTCCTACCTCTGCAGCCTTCGACAACGATCTGAGTCCACAGAACAGCATCCCTGGTCTCCTTAAACCACGCTCCAAATTACATATTGGAGCCTTCAATGTCAAATTGGCCAACAGGCTTCGTTGGCAAAGACTCTAGCAACTCGGGCATGGATGTGTGCTGTGTTTGTGAGACACGCATACAGGACCCAAGTGTGGTTATTCACCTGACCTCTCCTGACCAATCTGGTGAATCTGCAAAATTCACCCTTCGAGTTTCTGGAGATTCGATAGCTAGCTCTCGTGGTCTTGCAGGTGTAGGTATAGCATTAAGCACCAGGGCAGAAAACTCACTACTAGACTGGATCCCAGTTGATAGTCGCCTCTGCGCTATGAGGCTGAACGGCACAGTGAGAACTAAAAGGAATAGTGAGACTCGCCGTTGTCTCTTTGTAATCTCTGCTTACGCACCCACTGACTGTAGTTCGGATGAAGTGAAGGACGAGTTCTACCATAAACTGTCTAACCTCCTCTCGAAAGCCAAACGTTCGGACGTAGTGGTTGTTGCAGGTGACCTCAACGCACAGGTGGGTAGACTGAGTGAGGCAGAAAGGCACTTAGGTGGCACTTTCGGAATCCCAGCTGAACGTACAGATAACGGTGATCGCCTATTACAACTATGCTCAGATAACCGCCTATTTTTAGCCAGCACAAATTTCAGACATAAAGAAAGGCACTGTCTGACCTGGCGTCCACCGAGCTCGACTCAGCGATGGACACAGATAGACCACATTGCTATTAGTCATCGCTGGAGAGGATCGGTGGAAGACTGCCGCTCCTTCTGGAGTACGTGTTTGGACAGCGATCATGCGTTGGTCCGAGCACGTATATGCCTGCGTCTCAATGGACGTAGAAAAAATTTGGCAACAAAACCACTACGAGTTCTGCTGGACAACGAAAACACCAAAGCCGTGTTCAGTGAGAAGTTGGCTAGGCAGTTATCGGAACAAAAGACTGTCACTCATCCAGAAGAAGCTTGGTGCCATCTTCAGTCTACTGTAAAAGCAGCACTGGAGACTGTAGCCGACTCCAAGATAATGGCTAAAAAGAGCCAGTGGATATCAGCAGCTTCTTCCAAACTAATGGATGCACGTGAATGCATCCCTGCAGGCTCTGAGTACAATGAAGAGCGAGCGCAACTTAAAAAAACTGACGAAAAGTCTGCGCAACGATCGTGAACAGTGGTGGGCAGCAAAGGCTAAAGAGATGGAAAAGGCAGCGGCGATCGGTAACAGTAGACAGTTATTTAGACTTATTAAGGAGACTGGGGGGAAATGGTCAACAACAGTTAGTGAGGCTATAGCGGAGAAGGACGGATCTGCGATTCACTCGCAGGAGAGACGACTGGAACGATGGGCAGAACACTTCGAGGAACAGTTTAACTGGCCTCCAGCCACGATTGCGTTGCCCCCTATCCCGTCGGATCCTGAATGGGACATAGAGATAGGTCCTGACGAACATAGTATCCAAAATCCTAGGTTCTATTATTCTCCGACGCCTGAGTGGAGCTCGGGAACAGCAAGCCCGAGAAAACCAGGCAGGCTTTAGACCTGGCCACGGGTGTATTGACCAAATATTTACGCTGCGCCAGGTCCTGGAACATAGGCATACTTACAGACGCCCGACAATAGCTGTATTTCTCGACCTGAAGGCGGCATTTGACTCCTTGATCGAGAAGTCTTATGGCAATGTCTGTCACTGAAAGGCGTGCCTAGTAAGTACATCACCTTATTGAAAGCTCTCTACTCGAACACCTGTGGGCATGTTAGAGCCTATGGTGAGTTGTCCAGGGAGCTATACTCGTCAAGTGGTGTCCGTCAAGGATGCCCACTATCTCCATTCTTATTTACTTTTATCACAGATATACTTATCGAGGTTTCCCTCTCGTCACCTAAATACACAGACGTTGACCCAATCACAGGTGAATTTTCTTTAGATCTAGGATATGCAGATGACATAGTCCTGTTAGGTGAAGACGCTGACAAGATGCAGAGTCTTCTGAACACTTTGAGTGGGAATTTGAGAATGTTTGGGATGCGATTTTCACCACCCAAATTCAAATTTTTGCTCCAGGACTGGTCTTCAGCGGTACCGCGGTTAACAATAGAGAGTGAAGTGGTTGAGTGTGTTGACCACTTCACTTACCTGGGAAGTATGATCAACCCTGGTGGGCTAGTTGCCGATGAGATCTCTGCACGGATACAAAAGGCTCGATTGGCTTTTGCCAATTTACACCACCTATGGCGCCGCCGTGATATCCGTTTGTCTATTAAGGGTTGCGTGTACTGCACAGCAGTCCGCTCTGTTCTACTGTATGGCTGTGAAACATGGCCATTGAAAGTGGAAAATATAAAAAGGCTTCAAGTGTTTGACCTCCGTTGCCTTCGTAGTACGGGACGTATTCCGTGGTGTCACCACATGAGTAATGCAGAAGTTTTAGGGAGAAGAGGTAAGTCAGTTGATGAGGTTATGAACCTTCATCGACTGAGATGATTGCGACACATACTACGTATGCCTAGTCACCGATTGCCTCGTCACACAATGTTGGCTGAGGTGGGTCCAGGCTGGAAAAGGGCCCGAGGTGGCCAGACTAAAACATGGCACCAATGTACGAAGTCTCTGACTGTTGGTTTAAGCCATGTAGGACGATGCAGACTAGGTGGTTGGGGTCCGCGGGACAAGAGGAACCAGTGGTTGGAGACTCTAGATGATATGGCTCAGAACCGATGTCAGTGGCGCAGATGTATACACACATTATCCTCATCTTAACGAGGCTATACCGAATCTCACCATTTTGTCGCTCCTCTTTCTTTTCTTCTCGTACTTTATATTCCTTTTGACTGCATTTACTTATCTTCATCCTTCACTTCGCTACCTTTCTACTTGATGAACTGACGTGAGGTGTGGCAACTCGGACCGTTACGCAGTAATGCCTGGTCCTATGTTGATAATGATTGATTGATTGATTGAAAGTAACTTATTATTGAAACAGAAGCTCTTACCACATGATTATGATTTTTCGTTAATAAAATTAATTCCCACAAACATGCACTTCCAGGAAAGCATAATTCTGGATCGTTAACATCTGGTTTATAGTTACTGCATACTTCTGCATCACAGTCGAATAAAATTTCACAGCGTGGAAAAAGTCGAAGAAGATGGAACAGTTTTATGAGTAGAGAACTCGAGCAGTAGGGATCCGACTGAAATTAGGCATAAGATTTAAAAATATTGTGTTATCAGTAAAAGTTAACAACAATGTGTGACTATACATTTACAGTGAACGAAGAAACAACACATGGAGTTTATAGTCAAACTGAATAAAAATTGATAAATATCTTACCTATATGCACCTAAAATTTTGGTTATATGCCATGCAGATAAAGATGAGACCATTCACACAAACCACAACAGAATTCCGTGATTATTAAACCGTCCACTGTTGTAAAGATAAATTTTATCAAAGACATCACAATAATTTTGATAAAGCTATTAGTACTACATAGTAAAACATCTGTTTTGTTTTCCATCCAGTGAGAAATGCAAATACCACAGTAATTAATATTTACCCAATGCTAAAAATTTCTCACAACATCAAATCCCAACTTGGTTTGGATACCTATAAATTTGTTCTGATCTATTTTCGAACTTCTTTTACCATTTCTTCATTAAACTGAGAATTTTTATTGTTCCAAGCTGTGCTACTTTGTTGTGTTGTTGTCTAATTCACACAGTAAGTCTTTATCAAACGGAATACGATAATAACTTCCAACGACATTTTGGTTGAACAGAAAAATACAGTAAACAGAAATGGTCAAAAAAGATTCGAATAAAGAATTTTCGATGATGACTTCCACAATTTATTCTTGTTTTGCATATTTCAAGAGATTGAGACACTAATTCGATCTCAATTTCTGCTACTTAGACGATTGTGCATAGCATCACGCTTGAAGTAAAGACACTTTTATACATAACTCCTCCATGAATATGTAAACATTTGAATAGCTGAAAAATCTTACCACTGTCAATGCTGCGCTTGTCATACGCTTTGCGAAGGCCAGAACTCGATTAACTGAAACTTCATGCTTTCGCTTGATGAGAAGCATGTTTAAACAGGATAGAAGAGTGTCTGATAAATGTACAACTTCATCTGCAGCGATCCTTTCGCTCACACTGCCAGTATTAGAATTGACTTTGTCTGAAAATTTACTTTCTACTCCACTTTCAGTGATTTTGCATCGATGTACCAGGTTAGCGACTGCTTGAGCAGCCGGAGTATTTGAACGACCGTAGGCTTTGATCACAGATGACAGATGGGATATTGCATTTTCAGTTTCTTTTACATCACTTGCACCGACACCTGCAATACGTCCCAATATAGTGTAGAGATGATTGCAGAAAACAGTCGGATCCACAGCAAGAACATCTGAGGCACTAGACGAAGACATAATACTAAGAGCCGTATGTACACAATGTAAACCATCAAGAATGCTGGTCGACTGAAAATGGATAAAATAAGGTTAGCGAAAGTGCACAATGAAAAACTAACGAAACAAAACATTACGCAAGAAAAGGACTTCAGTGCACCAGTAGACACTCTGACTTAAGCTGAAGGGCTCGCAGGTACTAATCTCAAAACTTCAGACAGATATTTACATACAGTGAATATGAAAAACTGTGTAACGACTTGAGTTATCAAAGCAGAAACAAAAAAATGAGATGATGTTCTCAGTACTAGTTCTGTGTATCATTGTTAAGCACATTTAACACTGAAAACCCATAACTTCATAGACTAATTTGTGTCCTTTAGGTCAAAAACTGCCATAAATTGCTGAAACAGAATGCTTCGAAACACAACCAGGGCTTTCTTAAGTAGTTCATATAAAAGTGTGGCTTTACTGTTGCGATGTAACACTACACTGATCATCAGTAACGGTCGAATTTGCCACATCTTACATAACTACATCGAGAAAGTAGACATATGAAGAAATAAGGGAGAAAATAAAAGGAAACCAAGAAGGGATGAAACCATAAGAAAAATCAGCGTAGCAACTAGGATGATGATGATGTCTCCATGTTTCTGCAACACTGAGATCGATTCTGAACCATGTCGCCGAGTTGTCTACCACCAATTTCCGTTGTCATGCGAATTCCAACTAGAAAGTTTACATTTTCCAACACGATTCAGACCAACATTTAAACGCTGGTCTTAAGCTTCAGCCTCACCACGCCTGACCTTTTCCTCGCTTAAACCTACTATAACTGACAGGGTAGACGGTTCCAGGCATGCGTAACACATGTCCCAGCCATCTCAGTCGATGGAAGTTCAGAACCTCATCAACTGAAATCCCGCTCCTTCCTGAACCTCTACACTTACACCAAGACACACGGGCCATGGTAGGAAAGCGACGGTGGTTGGACACTTGACGCCTTCTCGTGTCCTCTACTTCTAGTGGCCACGTTCCAAAGCCACACAGCAAACTGCACCACAGTTGACTCAACACTTAATAGCCAATCGGATTTCGCGGCCGCACTACAGATGGCGTAAGTTAGCAAAAGCCGACCGAGCCTTTTGTATCTGTGCAGGGATTTCATCAGCTACTGACCCATCTACCGGGGTTAGTCCAACTTCCCAGGTAAGTATAATGTTCAATGCACTCGACCACTTCACTCTCTACTGTGAGCCAGGGTACCGCTGAAGACTAGTCCTGGAGCAACAATTTGCATTCAGGTGGTTAGTAACGCATCTCATTCTCAAATTACCAATCACGGTGTGCAGAAAACTGCATCTTGGTAGCGTTTTCGCCTAAAAAAAAATACGACATCTGAGTTCTCTATGTGTGCCAAGGATTTTTCTGTGACTAGACCAGTCCCTGTTAAGTCAGATGAGGGAAACCCTCGATGAATAGAGAGAGTGAGCATCCTCCGCTGGTACCACGCGTAATACACAGCTCATCTGAAAACTCACCATACGTTCTAACACATTCACACATGTTCCAGTAAAAACAACTATACACAGTGGAAGCACTCAATCAGCACTACTTTCACTGACAGACACTGCCGTAAAACCCCTCGATCAACACAGCCAAACACCACCTTCAGGTCGAGAAATACAGCTAGTATCAGGCATCGGTGAGTGTGTCTGTCTTCCAGAACCTGGCGGAGTGTGAATATTTGGTCGATACACCCTCAGCTAAGTCTAAAACCTGTCTAGTTTTCTCCAGGTTGCTATTTCCGAGCTCCACTCAGTCGCCTAATGACCACAGAATCCTAGACAATACGTTTGCTAGCCTCATTCCACTGTAGTTATCACACGAAGATATCTCACCTTCCTTGAAGACTGGGACCATCAGTGGTTGAGACCAATCAGAGGGAATCGTATCTGAATCCCACACACTAGTTAACTTGACGAAACATTCACTACCACTCTCCTCATATACCTCTGGAACTAGTCTACCTGGCTCCGCTGCCGTTCCTCGTTCTCGGTTTCCTACACTTTTCTCGACTTCTACAAGTGTTGGGAATCCTATCTTGATGTTTCTATTCCGGTGCCGACCGGATAGCGGCCAATGCAACGCAACATAATAGTAGCTGTAAGCCAGTTATACTGTTCCTCAAAGTCTTCTGTCTATCATTCCTGTCGTCTCTCCTGGGAGTGAATCGTAGACACATCCTTCTTCTTCATTGTCCCACTAAACATTGACCTTTTCGCTTCAGTTTTCTCAATAAGTCTAAATAACTGTCTACTGCTACCTATCACAGCTGTCTCTCCTATTTCTTTAGCCTTCGCTGCTCACCACCGTTCGTGGTCGTTGCGTAGACTTTCTGTCAGTCTACCTTCGAGCTGCATTCAATTCCTATATTACTCGGGACATGTAGGGATGCTTCCGCTTGCTCCCATCAATTCAGAAGAGGCTGCTGATATCCGCTGGCTCCTCTTAACCACTCTCCCAGAGTCAGCTAAGGTCTTCAAGGCTGCTTCCTCAGTAAACAAACTGGAGATGGCACCAAGCTTCTTCTGAATGCGTGGTAGTGTTCTGTTCCACTTTCTCACTGAAAGCGGCCGGAGTGCTCTCTTTGTTGGACTGTACTTGCGATGGTTTTGCTGCTAAGTCTTTCTTACATCCAATGAGGCGGAGACATACATGCACTCGAACCAACGCGTGGTCGCTATCCAAACACGTGCTCTAGAAGGGGAGGCACGCTTTCACCAGCCATCTCCAGCAATGAATACTTGCAATATGGTCCATCTGTGTTCAGCCTGACTGGGTAGAGGTCGGTGGACACCATGTCACACAATGACTCTCTGTATGTCTGAAGTTTGTGCTGGCTAGAAACCAAAGGCTGTCTGCGAACAGTTTCAGCAGGCGATCACTGTCATCCATTCGTTCAGCTGGGATTCCAGAAGTGTCATCCAAATACCGTCTCTTCCGACTACACCTATTACTCACTTATGCAGTGAAATCATCTACAACAACCACATCTGAATATTTAGCTTTCAGAAAGAGGCTAAACAGTTCTCAGTAGAACTCATCCTTCACTTCATGCGAACTGCAGTCAGAGTGTGCGTAGGCACAGATTACAAAGAGACTACAACCTTTTACTACTTCTCTTTGTCCTCACACTGTGCCATTCAGTCGAACAACACATAGGCGTCTGTTAACTGAGATCTAGTCGAGCAATGAACTCTCTGTCACAATGCTCAAGACCACGAAAACTAGCCATCGTTTCCCCAGAAACTCGAAGCGTGTATTTTACAGATTCATCATATTGGCCGGGTGAGGTTAAGTGAATAACCACACTTGGGTCCTGTATACATGTCTCGCAAACACAGCATAGATCTGTGATGCCAGATGCCAGAGTTTTGGTCAGTAAAGCTTGTTGATTGATTTGACGGAGAGGGCCCAAAAGCAGTTTGGAGAGCGGTTTTAGGAAACCAGTGACATTGTTTCGTCAACTCATATCGTTGTCGAGTCGCACAATTGGGAAAAATTAGAGATAATGTGGGATTTCTGACTGAGAGACGTGAAGAAAGATTAGAAGTTGAGGATGTAGGAGGTGGACAGTGGTTTGAGGGAACTTCAGTACTGACAAACTGAGGGCGGTCGGCACTTACCGGTTGACCACGACGTGGAAGGCCAGATCTTCGTCAGATACCTGAGAAAGAAGGGATAGTGTGTGACTACAGAGCACAAGGGACATCTGCTTGGGGTTGGTCACACACAGTTTTTTTGAAAGTTTGATATTTTCGTTTGTTGCATTTGTACCCAAATATGAACTCATGTCGCCGAGGCACCGGCATATCGCAAGGGTGATAAGAGTGTGATATTTTGGGAGCCAACATTTACTAACTCCTTTTCCCATATGGAAGGCAGCATCAGTGTGGCACCGCTAGTCATCTAAGGGAAACACCTTACTGCTGTCACAACCTCGTCCATCTACCAGTATGACTGTCTTTAGACCCGCATCTTAGCGTAGTAACTTACACTACAGTGGTAAATGCTTTTTTTCTAATCCCTGTCCAACCGACACTTCTGACCCGGTAAGAAGTCGAGGGAACAGCCTAGTGCAGTGGGTTATTGTGATGTACAAGCCTGACCACCGCGTCAAGGGAGCAGCTTTCAGTCAGGGAGTACTCCATTACAACACTTCGCAATCAACGAAGTTGAATTCCATCTCCTGGATACAGAAGAGGTCAAAAGTCAGTACAGTAGTCCGTAAATTTGTGTGCCTAGGAATACAGGAAAGGGTAGATAATCGAAAGGTGTATTCACTAGACCTGAAACCTACTTAATTTTTTCAGGTACACTGTTTTGAGTCTCAATTATAAATAATAATGACTTTTGTAACAATACGAATACTAATAATACTCAGCTCAGCAAATGTTTATGTACTAGAATAAATGCCAAACTGTTTCGTGCCTAAAGATATTACCTGGTTACCCAAGTCAAAGCAAGTACAGCTTTTTGTGATTCCACGACATCTTGGTGGAAATTCAAATGCTTAATCCAATGAAACATCTCCCAGTTAGGCACCGGACATCCATGGATGCTTTGGTGGTTACGCTTATTTCCCTGGTATTGATTCGTGGATTACTTATAAAGTGGAAGAAGCAACAATCGAAAGAAGCTCAAGCAAGCGGTTTATTGCTTGAAATTAAAGAGCATCTAACCCACAACATTTTAAACTGATCATTCTTACAAAAAAATACCCGGTTACCTAACCAGAGTAGTAGAGACCGGTTAATGCCAAGAAAATCGAATAGATGACGTTTCTACAAGGAAACTTAGTTGGCAATGGCAGTAATGGCTATTCAACCAATGATATTTTGCATGTGATTTTTAGTGCTACATTTACGAACGCATTTTCCAAGTTCCGTCATAATGGTCTATTTGATGCTGAACTGTTTACAGTCATTCCATATCAAACAAAGCCCAGGTTTGAGATTATTAGCTTTTAATTCTCCGTTTTTGTATATTTACTATATTCACCTGTGATGAATGCTGAAATATTGAAAATATCCCTACTGAATTCCAACTCGCAAAAAGCTTACTAACAAGATGTACAACGAACTTACTTTCTTTGCTACCATTGTATTTAAAACCGATAATAGGCTGTCCACATACTGTGTGTTGATTAACCTGGCATATCTGAAGGAAAGCAAAATTATTACATTCGGCAAATGAGGACTCACTTTGACAACCCTTTTAAAACAGCAGATAACAGTTTTGAGTTTGAAGTTGTTTTCAAAATTTTGAAGAAAACAAATAAGATTTCATTCATAACCAAAGTGTTCTATGTGTTGAAGATATTGTAAGGAAAATGAATCATACTAACCATTTTCAAGCGTTTTTCCCGGCTTTGAAGAGACAGAGTTTCGGCCATTTCCTTCTCGAATTTGCGCTGTGTTTTAGTTTCCTAAAAAATGAGTAAAGCATCAAAAAGTTAGAAGTGCAAAAAGACAACTATTTACATAAAATTCATTGGAAATAATTCCATTATAATAATTATTATCTATATTTACTCAAATTCACTAACACTTACTTGTAATATTGGCTATTTCGACATCTCCTGAATGTCTTACAATGGCTGCTATCCAAAGTTATTCATGTATTTATAACTTAGAAACCTGGGGGAAACGTTACTGAAACAACTGTTTGCTGTGAAAATTCTTGTTACAAAATATTACATGCTGATTTGGAAATCTTGACTGAAACTGTCCTCAATGACGGTGGATAAACGTAAAATGTCACAGCGTACTAAGACCAGTAACACACTGCAACCATAAACACAGAATGTAAAATTTCAAAAGAAAGAGCAATATCAAGTTGTTATACTTTTGTAATATCTTATACACATTTTAACAAAGGTCTTAAAGTAGACGAGAAGAACGTGAGAAAAGAAACAAATATGAACCGAGTAGAAGAATGTTCACGACTTCAAGAAGGGATAACATACAGAAATGACTTCAACTAGGAATCCGAACTGTCTACACAATTCACAACAGCCATCAGTAACTTCCCCGATCGGTCTAATATTTCTGTTAACGAATTTTTATTCCAATTAATCCAAATCCAGTTAACATTGAGTGCAAAGAAATATGGTGGGTCTTTTATACATGTTCTAGTTTCGTTAAATAACTAAAGTTCACATTTTTTCGACTGACTTGTCATTCCCGTTTGAAACCTTTTGAGTAACTTTAATATTACCCACTTGATGGTTCTATCATACATAACTAATGTCCCAAATACATCTTAAGAGATTTCTCTAAACTGCAGACTACACTGAAATGTAATGTTGAATAGCATGCTGCTCTTCCAATAATTGGTTCAATATCTTATATGCAGCACTGTTGTGGGCTGACAGACGTCGAATAACTTTCGTTGTATCGATATCGAGACTTTATCATCTACAGGGCAAATACAGCTGAAAAAGCCCCAGGATTAGTGAGGTCACTGACACATTACTGTGCATTTTTAAACCAAGCAGCCGCGTACACTAGTCATGAAGCGTCGTATTACACTTTACAGGAGTGAAAATGGGACAGACAGAAACACTAATGTAGAACCTGTCACAGAAATGGATCAATTCAAGTTGCCACACTTTATAGAAGTATACAAGTGCATATGCTCGTGAACAGAAAACGAACGACATCTAAGTAAACAAAATAGTGTTAAGGATGGAAGAAATAAAAGAAGGTTAGCCAAAATGTCCAGAGTTTTGAAGACGACAAAAAGATATACATCCAAGTAATTATAACTGATTTTTTAGACCCATTACTAAGGTTTTTTACTTATTGGATCCGATTATTTCGAAGATAACAGAGTAGCTTATATCTTCCAGTATGATCCGATGGTACTAACCGTTCATACACTAAGCAGTACATATAGTAATGTTACGAAGATAAGTATGATCAGAAAATGTAGTGTTCTAGTTTTAATAGCTGTTTCAAACATACAATGGGATGGAGAAGACTACTACGTAGTGTGTCCGTCTGAAAAAGCCAAATAAGAACGATGGCCATGAACATTATTGACAACCATCGATGGTTACCATTTCCTTCCGTGAAAAATTGTTTATATACCATAACATGAGTGAGTACAGAATGAAAAGAGTAGAGAGCTTAGAGTAACATTGCATACGTGCTCGGTACTGTCTTCACAGTCACAGTGCCACAACACCTCTCAATCAGTATAACCAGACGCCGTCTTCGGGTCAAAAATTATCAGTTATCGGTCCCCAAAACGTATACCTGTGTCCCAAAACCTCTCAAAAGGTGGTTCAAGCGGCACATCAGATCTGGAGACTACCTGGTTTTTTCAACTTTGTTCTCCACCACTAGTTAAGCGTTAGATGAATATGGACCACAGGATTTGGGACATTATGTTGATCAACTGATTTCCTGTGATGGTCACAGAAAGACTTTTCTTCTTTCTTGCAAACAAGAATTTTAGTGCAGCAGCTAATAGTCTTAATGCTCTCCTAATTAGCAATTTCTACTTGTATTTAAAAGGATCGGTTGGCAAACTATCAAACTCCATCACTGTATTATTTACAAGGCAACAGTTTCTAATACTTTTGTAAAGTAGGACTGTTTCAAGTTTGTACTGTAAGTTAACCAAAATATTGACTGGATTAATCCTCAAAAACCTATGAAATTGTTTTATCACTAGAACACCTGAAGTGAATATATATATATATATATATATATATATATATATATATATATATATATATATATATATATATGGTTTTGTGAGTCGGTTTACTAAGCCGTATTACCTCGGAGACTGAATCCTGCTTCTCATTTTTTGCTTGAACACAAGCCTTAGATGTCCAATAGTTGTAAACTCTTGGACTGGGTAGACTACATTGAATGAGTTACTTTCTCTAAGGTTAACCTACGGTTTGACTTTTTTGTAGCTTAAACGATTAATCTGTGATTACTTGCATATCCTCACACTACATTGTAAGTCGAATCCTTCGAGTTAGCTACTCAAACATACGGAGGCCAAAAGGTCCAGATCAACACCTGAGGTATGAGAGCCTAATATATTGGATTGTAGCTTCACAAGGCATTACTATTTAACTTCCAAACAATAGCAACCCGGTGAGTTCAAAAGTGAGACATGAAAATCTACATGTTTGAAATATCTGGTCATCGAGGTGTGATTTTGTAAGGTAACCGTAGGAGCCGAATCACTATATCAGTGAGTAGAGGTTCGACTCATATCTTATCCAATACCTTGGTACATCTGACAAGTTTGAAGCGAAACTAATAAGTCCCAGAAGCCACTTATCTTTTCATTTTCATAATGTTCAGATGCTAATAACCAGATGAAGACTCTTGTTTACCGAAAAATTAGTGCTGAGAAAAAATAATAAATCACCTTTCTTTCACGCCGTGAACGCATACGTCTGTCCACTTTTGATTTTTCCTTCACTTGCTGGCGTTCGACCTCTGTTATTGTGACACCAGACAATGCTCTGATAATTGGAACTCCAACGAGATATGATTTAGACCGACAAAACCGGTGAATAGCACGACAGATCTTGAAAAGTTATCTAAAGATATGCAGCGTACCATTAAAGTCACATCTCGATCCGTATCATTTTCGAAAATAGTGTCAACGGCCTTTAGGATTACTGAGGCAACCTACAAAATGCCATTTGAAATTGAATATTACTTGGGTTTTTGTACTGTTGAGGTGAGGAGGTAAGAGTTTTATAAGCTCCTTGCTATAATTGAAACCCGGATGACTCTCCAAAAGCTGGCAAACGCATCGAATGGCAGACAGTCTTTCTTCCTGTAGGTGTTAGGAAAGTAATAAAAATCATTACGTCATTCCAGTCAAGCTTTGAGTATGTCTTCAAACGAAGAGGCTTGATATTCAACGTCTTATCTGCAAGCAATGACATTTAATATGTAATTACCTCCAAGAATAATTCTCAGCAATTCCGTATACTTCTGTAGTTCAGGAGTAAGTTTTCTTCATAAAATCGTACCTTTCGGATTTCTTTTGTGGTCTGTGAAACTACACATCAATTATGTTTTCAATTACCGGTTGAGCTTTTTCTTTTTCAGTAACGGGTCTTATACAGTATGCAGGCAGAATGTCTTTGAAAACGACGCACAAAGAAGCTATCACAAGGCTTCGAATCTGCTTCAATTTCCGAAACTGCTTGGATTCAAATGTCTTGATAAGATCTCTAAGTGAGTTAATCTTGAAAGATTAGTGGAAGACGATTTACATTTTCCTCTGGAGATTTCAAAATACCTTCGCATTTAATAGCAACTGAGTGTTTGATATCCGTTATTACATTTCTTGCGGATAGTAACTGCTGAACCCGGAAAGCCCAGAATGACTTTTCATGCCTGGGGTGGCCTTAACTGATATCCGTGTGCCTGACCTTGGGGTGTCTGCATACAGTGGCTCTAAAAGACATCCCAAGGACTAAATTGTTACAAAGACAAGATCGCCAACCTATATCGTAAACCTGGAAAACATGTGATATCTCATACAATGCTTTTAATTAGAAGTTACAGTCGCATACCATGTTTGGCCTCATGAGTAAACTTTCTCATAAGCCCTCTTCAACCATTAGTCTGCGGTACACAATTGGATGATCATTCATTTGAGTACGGTCAACAAGAAGATAAGGTTGAAATATGCTCCTTTGAAGTCATTGTGCCATTTATCTCTTAAATAGTGTAGATGTTTGTCTTTTCAACAAGCGATTATACCCACACTGGTATATAGAGTTCATGAAGAAAGTACTGACGGGGGAAAGGGTATTCTGGAGAAATTTTGTCCCAGCCTGAACGTTTTATGCTCATTTTATGTTACTGGACCATTTTTATTTAAGTAATAGAGTATGTTTCTTGCCCATAGTGAATAACTATTTCTAAAAAGTGTATTCATGAAAAGGGATACTCCAGCTAGGTGGTTTCAGCGTGTGTAAATGTAAAACAGATGTCTTTACAATCTACTAATAGTGTGCAAGCAGTGCGATTTTAAATGCTAAGTGTGGGGAGAAAATTTTAAGTGGAACTTATCGGGAAAAGTTATGGTGTACCTCCAGGGAAACAATAGGGAAAACGTTGCAATTGGTCTACGTTAATGCAGAAATTTCTTCCAGAGTTTACATGATTCTGTATAAATTGGCCAGTGCCGAGCATGTTTTCCCAAGACTGCACCAGCCTCAGCTTAGGTCAGTTGTAATTCACAACACAGATTCATAAATTTCACCATCTAAGACCTACTAGCCCTCACATAATAGTTGATTACAGCTTCCCAATTGAAAGTGTGCAGACTGCATGAAATTGTGCATAAACCACTTCAAGTAAAAACAGTGTAGCGTCACACACTTCCCCAAAATCAATGGCCCAGAGTTTGACGACTTTCGACATTGATGCTGACCTTGATAGTTTAACTGGACTCGCTAAGCTGAAGGCACCCGGTCAAGCATCCTCGCCATTTGGCACGCTGTCGTGTTACGTTGCACTGCTCGTATTCGACTCTCTAGCTAGTTAGTTGGAACGCATCGGTATTTTGGCACAACCATCCAAATATACTATTCCATCCGACTACGCTATCGTGTTCTTCCTTGGCCTCGTATTCGTGGGTATATAACAAGTCCGAATAATTAGTGATTCGTCTTTGCGTCTATCAAGTTCGCACCAGGACAAATCCTAAATCGGTGAGCCCGATGTGATCACACATCCCGACCAATAACAAACATTGAATTGGTGAGCCTGTTCCATTCCATATTCGTATGTTGTTTCCGCTTCGACAACATTTATATATCCACTTACTACACTTTCTCATGTCCAACCACACTCCCAAGCTTATTCGCATTAAGCCGACTGCGAACACGATCCAACTCGTGCCATGTTGGCCAGACAATGCGGAAACATGGTTTCTGTATGCCGAGGCAGATTTTCGAGAACAGGGTGTCTCAGATCCTCGTTCTCAATTTCTTGCTGTCATACGTTCACTACCGCGGGAATTAAATAGACATGTTACAGCACACATGTTGAATCCTGAACTAAGTGATGCTTGTGCACTTCTCAAGGCCGCACTCTTGAAGAAAAGCGATCTGACAGATCGCCAGCGCCTAGACGAGTTATTTCGTAACATCGAGCTAGCCAACAACTCAGCTACTGAAGTCCTCACACGCATGCGAGAAGTTATGGGTGCACGAACATTCGACGATGGCCTTTTCCGAGAACTATTCCTCTCAAAACTGCCACAACCGGTGCAAATCGTGTTGGTCACACTGCAGTCAGTCCCACTCGATGACCTGGCAGCCTAGGCGGATAAAACACTGGAGATTTCTAGCAGACCCGTCTCCAACGTATATTCTGTCTGCGACAAACCAGAGCGCCAGGATTCAGATGTGACCAAGCTGTGCAACTCTGTTAAACAGTTGCTACAATCTCGAAGTCCTAGTTCACGTAGAACTCCACAGAAACGCATCTTAGTGCATCGCAGCGACTCTCGTGGTAGCCTCAAAACTAAACCTAATAGGGTGGAAAACCCTGAATGGTGCTGGTTTCATGACACTTACGGAGACGGAGACAGAAAATGTCGGAAACCGTGCCGTTTTAAGGAGGACACAAACTCGGGAAACGGTCATGCCGGCACGTGTTCACGGTAACTGTGGCGGGCGGAAACAGCCGTTTGCTCTACGTCACGGATATTCAAACGAAAGTTCGCTACCTCGCCGACACCGGCGCAGAAGTTAGCGTTCTTCCAGCAACGACAAAGGACCGTCATCATGACCCATCCCTCAATCTTCAAGCAGCCAACGGCAAGGCAATCGCGACATTCGGGAGACGGTATGTCTACCTCATCTTAGGTTTACGTAAACCTATCCACCGGATTTTCCTCCTTGCTGACGTCTCTATGCCCATCATTGGCATAGGCTTCTTAAACCATTACGATGTACTCGTAGATGCTCGCCGTCGACGACTGATAGATAACAACACAAAGTTATCCACTGGCGGCACCACCTATGCAGGTCCGAGTTTAGACACAGTTAGGGCCAAACAATCAGGGGACGCGTCCCACCAAGCAGTTTTGGAGGGACATACAGAGTTGCAACAACTAAAGCACACTCTTCCGTGCATAACCAGCAATGTTACGCATCACGTCACAACCACAGGTCCACCTGTGGTATCCAAAGCGCGCCGTCTAGCCACCGATAAGCTCAAAACGGCGAAAAGCGAATTCGGCCACATGCTCGGACTGGGCATTATCAGACCGCCAAACAGTCCTTGGGCATTGCCATTGCACATGGTTCCCAAAAAGGATACCAACGACTGGCGTCCAACCGGTGATTACCGACGGCTTAACGCCAAAACAACTCCAAACTGCTACCCGATACCTCACGTTTACGATTTAACTGCAACCTTATGTGGAATGAACATTTTCTCCAAAATAGACTTGGTCAAAGCGTACAACCAGATACCTATGGCAGCAGAAGATATCGCGAAAACAGCCATCAATACTCCTTTTGGCCTGTTTGAATTCCTGCGTATGCCGTTTGGTCTTCGGAATGCAGCACAAACATTCCAACGCTTTATGGATGACATCTTCCGTGGTTTGAATTTTGTTCATGTCTACATCGATGACTGTCTAATTGCGAGTCCAGATAAGGAAACTGACTTCAAACATTTGGACCTCGCATTCGAAAGACTTAAAAGACATGGCATCACAGTCAACTTACAGAAGTGTGAAGTAGGAGTTGAATCACTCAGCTTCCTTGGGCATACCATTGGCAACAAAGGTGCACGCCCATTGAGAGATAAAGTGGCGGCTATCATGAACTATCCAGAGCCGACCACTGTGAAACATCTCCGCACTTTCAACGGCCTGGTAAGTTATTACCGAAGGTTTATCCCCAACTGTGCCTCTGTCATGAGACCACTAACAGATCTACTTCGAGGAACTACGAAGTTCGTGTCTCTGGATAACGTAGCTAGACTTGCTTTCTCTAAAGTCAAGGAAGCCATTTCGAACGCAACCATGCTTATGCATCATGACCCCAATGCTCCTTTGAGTATTGCTGTTGATGCATCTGATTCAGCAATTGGAGCAGTTTTGCAACAATTGACTGACAACCAGTGGCAACCGTTAGCCCTTTTCTCGAGGCGGCTGCAAGACGCGGAAACAAGATACAGTACATTTGGTAGGGAACTCCTAGCTGTGTACTGTTCTGTACGCCATTTTCGACATTCTGTGGAAGGTCGTGATTTCATTATTTTCACAGACCACAAACCGTTAACCTTTTCCTTCAGCTCGGCGTCTGACAAATACTCCCCGCGTGAGTCGCGACAGCTGGATTACACTTCCCAGTTCACGTCAGACATCCGCCACATTTCTGGAGCAAATAACTCCGTAGCTGACACACTATCACGAATAGCTTCGATAAGCCATATCGAGGGCGTTGATCCTGTTGAACTAGCCCGGCGTCAAAGGGAAGACCTTGAGCTGCATCATGAGTTGTCGTCCACAACTCTCAAGCCGCGACTTTGTCCGGTTGGATCAGACAAGGATGCAATTTTGTGCGATGTCTCTGCTAGTCAACCACGCCCAATAGTTCCGAAAAGCTGTCGACGCAACGTCTTCAATACGTTGCACAAACTCTCTCATCCAGGTGTACTAGACACCATTAGGCTTATCGCACAACGTTTCTGCTGGCCTGGGATGAACAAAGACGTTAAGGAGTGGGCTCAGTCGTGCTTAGCTTGTCAAAAGTGTAAAGTCACGCGACACACGAAAAGCCCTTTAGGCTCTTTTCTAGCCCCAGACATGCGTTTCGACCACATCCATATAGATATTGTAGGACCCCTACCAGAATCTAATGGATACACCTACCTTTTCACTTGTGTTGATCGTTTCACACGATGGCCGGAAGCAGTACCCATTAAGGATATTACTGCTGAAACAGTTGCTCGTGTTTTCGTCGAAAGATGGATCGCGAACTTCGGATGTCCATCCTACGTCACAACCGACCGTGGGCGCCAATTTGAGTGTGGATTATTTCACGCTCTAACGGCACTTTTAGGTTGCACCCGGTTCCGAACGACAGCCTACCATCCACAAGCAAGTGGCATGGTAGAGCGTTTCCATCGACAGCTGAAAGCTTCCCTTTCAGCTGCAAACATACCTCAGTGGACCGAGGCTCTGCCTCTAGTCCTACTAGGTATTCGTAACGCGTTGAAAGTTGATGCTGGATGTACCACTGCAGAACTCGTCTATGGGACCACTCTTCGCCTACCAGGTGAGTTTGTTTCTCCTTCAACTTTCAAACATGTTTCCGACAGGGCATCGTACGTGACTAGGCTTACAAACGCAATGCGTTTAGTTAGGCCTTCTCCGGTTAGACCTCAAACGACTGATGTTTTCGTTCACCCCAGTTTACAAAAGACATCACACGTGTTTATTCGCCACGACGCCGTTCGTCGACCACTTGAACCACCCTACGATAGGCCATTCATAGTGATCAAGCGACAAGAAAAATTGTACATAACTGAGCGACGGACGTGAAGATACTGTCAGTATCAACCGTTTGAAACCAGCTTATTTCGAAGGCAACCCAATCATAAGTGACGTCTCAACTCGCTACATCCGACCGACGGATTACTCAATTATCGAAATTCTTGACGATGTGCCTGGTAATGCACAGCTGCAACAACCATCAGCGCAACAAAAAACACGATCAGGTCGAACCGTCAGATTCCCGGAGTATCTGAAGTCGTATTCAACCTAGCGGTGTGAAATAAAATGTGCCAACCATATTTTCTTTCTACCTACAAATTTTTTTCCGAGCCACTATTTTTTTTTGCTTACAGGCAGTGCGCCAACACTCGTTTACTTTGCCTTTTTATACCAATTTTTATTACCATGTAACGAAACTTTTTAAAAAACGGTGGAAATAAGCGTAAATTTATATTTTTCGATGTTTATATATAAATGATTCCCATTTTTACGAAACTTTTTCGTGGTATTAAAGACTTTTATTTATATTCCGGGCACAAAGAGCACTAGACGGAATGTCAGAGAAAACTGAGGATTACGACCGACGTACAATTTGATTTACTGTATTTTATTATTTAATTGCCACGACACCCTAGAATAAGTTCAGACAACCAGGGGCCACTTAGCACAGTGAGCCCATCGGAAGAGTCTTATCAGTGGAGAAACCACTGGGTTTTTATTTCCGGCTGGCATCGTCTTAGGGTCCTCACGAACCCACCAGGGGGGAGTGATCTGTAGCGTCACACACTTCCCCAAAATCAATGGCCCAGAGTTTGACGACTTTCGACATTGATGCTGACCTTGATAGTTTAACTGGACTCGCTAAGCTGAAGGCACCCGGTCAAGCATCCTCGCCATTTGGCACGCTGTCGTGTTACGTTGCACTGCTCGTATTCGACTCTCTAGCTAGTTAGTTGGAACGCATCGGTATTTTGGCACAACCATCCAAATATACTATTCCATCCGACTACGCTATCGTGTTCTTCCTTGGCCTCGTATTCGTGGGTATATAACAAGTCCGAATAATTAGTGATTCGTCTTTGCGTCTGTCAAGTTCGCACCGGGATAAATCCTTAACTCTCTCTGTAGAGTAGGCCCCCTCATTCAGTGCTATAAAAGTTACGGAAGCTGCATCCAAGTAGTCTACGTGACTTAGATGTGATATAAGCCGTCTGCTAATGGAACGTTAAGTCACTGGAATATCTAAGACCGAGGTCTAGCACTGAAGGACGTCTAAGTAGCTTTTGCCCACATACTTCGAGAGACATCTAGGTTATCGCTGCCTATGCTGAACCAACCACATTTATCAATGTTGAACTGGATATGGGGCTCTTCACACCATTTAGCAACTTTACCTAATTCTTGTCTAGCAGTAGATAGCGTACTGCCTAGTTCATGGGTGTAGCACGAGTACACAACCTTAAGGTCATCAGCGTATAGGAATGTCTCCCCTACAGTGAAGCAACTGCACATACCATTAATATAGGTTATGAACAACAAAGTTCCGAGGACACTACCCTGTATTACTTCACTAAATATGAGCCTAGGTGTAGACTGCATAGAATTTACTTTGAAGATTCGGCTCCGATCACTAAGAAATGATTTTAGGCAATGAAGTAAAGGATCATGGATGCCAATCGATCGTAGCTTATCAAAGAGTATGCTGTGTGGCACCTTGTCAAATGCCTTTGATATATCGAAGTACAGAACAATGAAACCTCGCCTGGTTAACTAGTTCACTAGTTACTAGCCGGTCCTAAGCCCCCATAAAGAGGGAAGGTTGGGCATAGGGCTAGCAACCCTACCCCGTAAAACAAATCTAACCGACAAAGAAACTTCAAAGCACAAACAAAATATAAAAAATAATAACAAAATTATTCCTCACTGGAATCGGAGAGGCGAAATGACGCCAGTTGGTGAAAGCCTCCATGAAGCCAATTGGCCGATGTGTCTTCTCTCGATGAAAGCGAAAGTAAACGTGGGGACATGGAATGTCCGTACGATGTTTGAACCCAGTAAGGCAGCCCAGATTGCAAACGAGATGAGAAGGTATCACATCGAAGTGCTTGGAATTTGCGAAAGCAGATGGAATGGGAGTGGACTCTCCAAACTGTCAACTGGAGAGCAGAGTCAATAATCTACTCCGATATTGTCACCCAGACGACAACCACGAGCACACTGAGGGAGTGGCTATCATGATGTCCTCAAGAGCATCGAAGGCTCTCATGCAGTGGGAACCAATCTCCTCCAGGATCATGACAGCAAGATTCAACTCAAAAGGAAGGAAGGTCGCAATCATACAATGTTATGCACCTACAAATAATGCAGAGCAAGAGTAAAAGGAGGATTTCTACAGACAACTTCAATCAACATTGGACAAGACGTCAGTTGGCGATATCAAAATTCTAATGGGTGAGGTGACATGAATGCCAAACTGGGAGGGGACAACACAGGAAGAGAACTAACCATGGGTCGAGAGGCGCTAGGTGAAATGAATGAGAATGGAGAATTGTTTGCAGAATTCTGTGCATTCAACGATTTGGTGATTGGAGGCAGTGTGTTCAAGCACAAAGATATCCACAAAGCAGCGACATGGATTTCACCAGATGGACACACTAAAAATCAAATCGACTTTATCTCAATCTCAAGAAAATGGAGACGCGGTCTACTTAACACAAGGTCAAGAAGAGGAGCAGATGTAGGTTCAGGCCACTATCTAGTGCAAGGAACCTTCTAAATCAAGTTAAAAGCCTTCAAGGAAGCTGGTGATAGACCTCAATTCAAGTACAACACTCGGAAACTGAAGGATGAAATTACAAAGGAGATCTTCAAGGCAGCCATCAAGACAAAATGGGAGATATCGAGGGACATCCCTGAAGAAACTTGTGTGGAAGAACACTGGAAGTCTTTGAAAGCTATGTGGAAAGAAACCTGCGCAACAGTATTAGGAAGGAAGAAGAAAGAAGACAAGGAATGGATCTCGACGGATACCTGGAAGCTGATAGATGGAGGAGAGGAGGATGGTGAAGCAGAAGATAAACCAGTGCAAGGATGCTCAACGACAAGAGGAACTGAGCACAATGTATAAAACACTGGACAAAGAAGTAAAGAAGAGTGCACGCAAAGACAAAAGACACTTCTACGAAACACTGGCAAGTGAAGCAGAACAGGCTGCAGGTAAGAGAGACCTGACGACATTGTATCAAATAACCAGGTTGCTATCAGAGAAGAGACCAACACAGATGAAACCAATAAAAGATGAAGAAGGAAATTTAATTACAAAAGAAGAGAAACAGAGGAAACGATGGGCCGACCACTTCAAGAAGCTCTTGAATCGACCACCACCTGCACTTCGTCCAGAAATACCACCTGCATCCGCTGAATTACAAGTGAACATAAATCCCCCAACGAAAATGGAAGTCCTGAATGCCATAAAGCTACTGAAATGCGGGAAAGCAGCAGGACCAGATGGGATACCGCCAGAAGCACTGAGAACAGATGCAGAGACAACAGCGGACATGCTCACACCACTATTGCAGAAGGTGTGGAAGGAAGAGAAGGTACCTGGCCATTGATTGGAAGAAGGGCTACCTTGTCAAACTGCCGAAGAAAGGAGACCTCAGTGCTTGCAAGAACTGGCGCGGAATCACTCTCCTGTCCACCCAGAGCAAGCAAAATATTAAGCCGCATCATCCTAGAGAGGCTTAAAGATGCACTGGATTCAAAACTGCGACCGGAACAGGCAGGCTTCAGGAAGTACAAATCATGTGCAGACCAAATTGCAACGCTTCGTATCATCATAGAACAAAGTATAGAATGGCAGTCGACTCTCTACCTCAACTTCATCGACTTTGAGAAGGCCTTTGACAACGTCGACCGAGAAGTAATTTGGAAACTGCTTCAATACTACGGAGTACCGCAAACCTTTATCCGCCTCATTCAACAACTATATGAAGATGCCACATGCCAAGTAATTCACGATGGGAAGCTCAGTGATGCCTTTGAAGTGAAGACAGGAGTGAAACGAGGTTGCTTACTATCCACCATGATATTCCTGATTGTGGTGGACTGGATCATGCAGCAAACAGTAGGCAGCGAGAAGAGGGGGATACGCTGGGCTGCGGAAAAGAACCTAGAAGACTTGGATTTCACCAACGATGACTTGTGCCTGATGTCACATAAACTTGAAGATCTGCAGGCAAAAACTAACAAGTTGATAGAAGAGGCAGCGAAGACGGGACTTCAGGTGAATATAGAGAAGACAGAAGTGATGAAGATACCGCACCACCACCACCACCAACAACAACAAACTCCAATCACCGTCAACGGGAGAAACTTAAAGGAAGTAGCCTCCTTCACTTATCTAGGAAGCACTGTTTCAACTACAGGCGGGACGGACGAGGACGTCAAAGTCAGAATCGGAAAAGCAAGACAGGCGTTCATTAGCCTGAAACCAGTGTGGAGATCTTCTGCACTCAGCATGTGGAACAAGATACGGATTTTCAACACCAACGTCAAGTCAGTGCTCTTGTATGGTTCAAAGACTTGGCGCGTCACGAAAGGCATTTCCAATCAACTACAGACATTCATCAACAACTGCTTACGCTGGCTCGCTACTGAAGATCAGATGGCCAGAAAGAATAAGCAACAAGGAACTCTGGGAACGAACCAACCAAGAACCTATCCCGCAACAAATATGCAGGAGGAAGTGGAGATGGATTGGCCATGCACTGAGAAGGCAGACTGGAGACATCACGCGTCAGGCCCTCGAGTGGAATCCCCACGGGGAGCGACGAGTTGGACGTCCAGGGGTGACATGGAGGAGGTCATGCGAGGAGGAAATGAAAGCTTCTGGACTGTCTTGGGACCAGATTCAAAAGATCTCAGAGAACAGGATGAAATGGAGGCGTGCTACCGAAGTCCTACGTTCCACTAGGAACCCAAGGGACTAATAATAATAATAGAACAATGACGATTTTACGTGCCCCGCGGCCACTAGTGACAAGCTTGAAGGAATCGAACCGGCAAGTAACGCGAGACTTTCTTTAATGAAACCGTGCTGAGACTTTTTGATGAGGTTTTTTCCAAGTAGGTATTCGGAGATGCTGCCCTTAACCACTTTTTCCATATTTCGGGAGACGACTGGCGTTATGTTGATAGGTCTGTATTTACCAAAATTCGCTTTTTCACCGGGCTTGTAGAGAGGAATTGTAAAGCTAGTTTTCCACTCGCTAGGATACCCCCCGCTTTCTATTGATAGTGTGAATATCTTAATCAGGGACAGTAGCATATCGTAACCACTATTCCCGATGACTTTTGAGTTTAAGCCACTTATTGTTCGCACTCCACACATAACTTTTGTTTACTTTCTGTCACCAACGCCGATTGAATCTTCGGTCGGTCCGATTGACATGTCTCACCTTCAAAAATGACACCTGTATGAATCGGTGAATGACTAATGAGTTCACCCCCTCCAAAGTAGGAGAACTGGTAGGACCCCCTGTGAGTTATAAATGACCGAACCACGGTTCAACTCTTGTGCCAGGCAAGAGAGGTCACTGTCATTCAGGGCTCTTGCTGCTTCTATGGCAGAAAGTCCCCAATGTTGCGGCATTTATCTGTCTCTTAATCATGGAGCACAACACCCGCTTGACAGTTCCAATCAGTCGCTTCCGAATGACTCTACTATGACCCGCCTTTGGTGAACTCAATCTTCACTTTAGATATCTCCGCACCAGTTACTCACGTATATTTTCTCCAAAGCTTTGAAAATCCTTTCGGTTTCCACGTGAAAAACAAAACAGTCTACCATTCCTATCACCGAACGTTAAATTCGTCCTAGTTGTATGATTGGTGCGCCTCCATGGAGACAAAATAAATGGATCGTCGGAAAGAGCGTGGATTGTCTCAATCCACTCACCTCTCATCTTCGGACGGGTGAAGTGACGTCCACATATGTGTAGTGCACCTTCCTGGCACCAAAATATAACTAGGGCTAAAATAAATAGTTTAAATTAAATTAACTAAATAAATCTCTAGCTTGCCTCCGGATGCTTAGGGTGTTTTAAGTTTTGTTTTAACGAGCATGCATCCGAGCAGGCTTGGACGCCATTTTTGCGCTCCATTGTGCTGATCACCACGCACGTACTCCGAGTCCCTAGTTCAGCCTTACAAGCCAGATAAGTTGATTAAACTTTTCCCTCATTCATTATTATAACATTTACCTTAAATACATAGCTCCTTTAAATACATTGCGTATCAGTTCTTTTGATTTGTGTTTTGTTACCAGTACTTACACGTTAGGTAAAGTACTGGTTAAGCAGGTACTAGAGCACATCAAATTAAGTAGGGTTGATCAAACGTTACGGAATTGTAACACGCATCCCTACAAAAATTGGTGAGCCCGAGTATCACTTCTTATTTTGTCTAGTACCTTTGTTCTCTTGCGTTGATTTGTCTGGCCTAATTTTGTTTTTGGCACGTCTAGCGTTTTTTTTATATTATTGCACTCCTCATTGGTTATTTTTGCATTGTAATTTTTTTATTATCACTATCGTGCCTCGTTAATTCCCTGATCAATGGCGGATAACGACTCGACTGCGCAGATGGCCATAACCCTCCAGCTTCCCACCTTCTGGGCCCACAGACCATCTGCATGGTTCTCCCATGTGGAAGCTCAGTTTGCCTTGAGACACATTCAATCACAAGAAACTAAGTCCAACTTAGTCATCGTCAGCTTACCGGAAAATGTGATTGAAGACGTGTCAGATGTGCTAGATGACCCAGCACCGAATCTTTACGATCGCCTCAAAACCGCCCTCATCAAACGTGTTGCACTTACTGACCAGCAGAAAGTGCAAGAACTTTTCAGGGATGTGCATCTGGGTGATCGCAAGCCGACGCAACTGCTTCGTCAGATGAAGCAGCTGATTGCTGACTTCAACATTGATGAAGCATTTCTCAAGCAACTGTGGTTACAGAGGTTACCACAGTCGGTTCAAGGGATCCTCGCACCCTTCCATAAGTGTCCCTTAATAGAGTTGGCGGAAGCGGCTGACAGAGCTGTGGATGCTACGAAACCCAACACTAGTATCTCAGCTGCACTGTCTACTGCCACGGATTCGTTCAAAAATCCTCCCTCGGCTGTTGAGCCAACAAGTTTCGATGTTATAGCTCACATCTCAAAATTGTATGAAGAGTTGTGCAGCATCAGGAACGAAATGCGGTCTGGTAGTTCTTACAAAGGTCGCACGTCTCGCTCGCCCAACAGGTCTGCCTCCCGTACCGATAGCAGACGTTCCAAATCGCGACAATCCCAACCCAGGTTGTGCTGGTACCATAAACGTTATGGTGCCAATGCCAAAAAGTGCACTCGACCTTGCACCTTCGAGGCTAACCAGGCGGGAAACGTGTGAGCCAGCACGTGACGGCGACTAACGTCGCTGGCGAGCCACTTCCATGTCGCCTCTTCTTCGTCACTGATCGACATTCTGGGATACGCTTCCTAGTTGACACTGGGGCAGAAGCTAGCGTCATCCCACCTACGAAGGAAGAGCGTCTGCGGCCAATGTCTCTGCAACTTCGTGCCGCCAACGGTTCGCCCATCACAACCTATGGTCGGAGATTCCTCGATCTCAACCTTGGATTGCGTCGTCCCTTTCGTTGGGTTTTCATAGTGGCAGATGTGACCACCGGCATTATTGGTATGGATCTCTTGCAGCACTATCAGCTGCTGGTAGATGCTGGCAAGCATAAGTTGATAGATTCTACCACAACACTCTCTGTTTCCGGTATAGTCACAAAGACGCCGCCCCTCAGTCCCGTGTACTGCACGACGGACGCTTCTAGTCCCTACGCGTCTATCATTCAGTCCTTTCCGGATGTCTTTAAGCCAAGTCGTTGTGTCCCTTGTGTGACTTCGAACGTTTCTCATCACATAACGACGACTGGCCCTCCAGTATTTGCGAAACCACGGCGATTATCCCCGGAGAAACTGCGTGCTGTAAAAGCCGAGTTCGAACACATGCTTGAAATGGGAATAATCAGACCATCCAACAGTCCATGGTCTTCACCCTTGCATGTGGTACCCAAGAACAATGGCATGGACTGGAGGCCTTGTGGTGACTACCGAAGGCTCAACGCTAAAACGATTCCAGATCGTTACCCAGTCCCTCACATTCACGACTTGACTGCATCTTTAAAAGGCTCGGTTATCTTCAGTAAGCTTGACTTGACGCGTGCATATCATCAGATCCCGGTTCATCCTGATGATGTTCCCAAGACAGCCGTCATTACACCGTTTGGTCTTTTTGAGTTCCTCCGTATGCCTTTTGGTCTTCGCAATGCAGCACAAACCTTCCAACGTTTTATTCACGATGTTTTACGTGGACTCGATTTCGCCTATGCCTACCTAGACGATATACTAATCGCTAGTCCAGACGAAGACACCATATTAACCACTTGAAACAGGTTTTCGCCAGACTGTCAGAGCATTCGATGACAGTCAACCTGGCCAAATGCCAAATTGGCGTTCGTTCACTAAAATTTTTGGGACACGTTATCGACGAGCAAGGCATTCGCCCACTACCTGAAAAGGTACAGGCGATCCAAGACTTCCCAGTCCCAGCGTCACTTAAAGCTCTGCGTGTGTTTCTGGGTATGGTGAGCTATTATCGTCGCTTCATTCCCCAATGTGCACACATTTTGACTGCACTGACCGACCTGCTGAAAAGTAAATGTAAAACTTTCAGCTTGACTCCGGAGGCACTAGAAGCATTTCGCAAGATCAAAACCGCAATAGCAGACGCCACGATGCTGGTGCATCAAGACGTAAACCTACCTCTCAGCATTGCGGTTGACGCCTCTAACACGGCCATTGGAGCTGTGTTGCAACAACTTTCGGATCACACTTGGATCCCAGTTGCATTCTTCTCCGGAAGTTATCCACCTGCGAAATGCGGTACAGCACTTTCGGCAGGGAACTGCTCGCCATATATGCCTCAGTGAAACATTTTCGTCATTTTGTGGAAGGTCGTGACTTCATCATCTTTACCGACCATAAACCTCTGACGTATGCCTTACACACCACTACTGACAGATATTCACCGCGTGAATTACGTCACCTAGATTATATTTCGCAATTCACGTCGGACATCCGTCATATTTCTGGTGTGAATAACCCTGTCGCGGACGCACTGTCTCGCGTTTGCACCACTACTTTGCCTCGAGCAGTCGACTTACGGAAGATTGCCGAACTTCAGGATTCAGACGAGGAGATTGGAAAAACTTCAACACTCATCCTCTCTGAAGATACAGCGTTACCGCTCCTGAACAGTGAAGTGTCAATATTGTGCGACACCTCCACAGGCACACCCAGACCCTTGCCGCCGGACTCCCTAACAGACTCGTTTAGTCGCGCGTATCCTGAACCTTCTAAAAGAGCCACGTCTAGTAACACTGATCCAGTAACCTCTACACGTGCTGGGAGGCGTGTACATTGGCCCAAGCGATACGCCGAGTTCGTTAATTAGCCCCAGAGCAACTTCACACTTGGTGAATTCGGAGTTTCAACTACTTTGTCGTGGCATACACTTTCAATGCGTTTTCATACCTAAAGTTTTCAAAAGTCATGTTTACTACTTTGCAAACAGTTTTTTTTTCAAAAAAAAAAAAGAAAAATCAAAAATACAATTTAAATTCCGAAAACTTTTTTTGGTTGGTTATTATTTTTTTTTCTGTACTACTCCCACTTCGAATTGTTTGGTTTTCCTTTTCTTAGCACTCTAATGTCCCATTTCTTTCTTCTTGCAGAACCTAGAAAATGCGTTGAAAATTGGATACAATTGGCCGCTGACGATGCTACTTGGATCGTTCTTCGGTTCTCTTTGTACCAATTTCCCCCTGTACACCCCCCGGTAGATTAAGAAGCAATAGGGAAAAGTAGACGGAGGCTTTGGGTCACCTTCCACCACTGCGAGAAGGGTTGCGTCTAGACGCAAAGTTATCTTACCTCGTAGGTGTGCATAGTTGCACTAGCTTCGGAGACCCACACGTCACCTACTCCATCACCAATATGGAAAGGTGTTGCGTGTCCGCCTCGCAGTCGCCTCCTAGGATCGAAGGTTGCCGGTATCCCAACAACCTTCTAGGAGGGGGATAACCTGTAGTGCACCTTCCTGGCACCAAAATATAACTAGGGCTAAAATAAATAGTTTAAATTAAATTAACTAAATAAATCTCTAGCTTGCCTCCGGATGCTTAGGGTGTTTTAAGTTTTGTTTTAACGAGCATGCATCCGAGCAGGCTTGGACGCCATTTTTGCGCTCCATTGTGCTGATCACCACGCACGTACTCCGAGTCCCTAGTTCAGCCTTACAAGCCAGATAAGTTGATTAAACTTTTCCCTCATTCATTATTATAACATTTACCTTAAATACATAGCTCCTTTAAATACATTGCGTATCAGTTCTTTTGATTTGTGTTTTGTTACCAGTACTTACACGTTAGGTAAAGTACTGGTTAAGCAGGTACTAGAGCACATCAAATTAAGTAGGGTTGATCAAACGTTACGGAATTGTAACACGCATCCCTACATATGCAACATGTGTATCTCGCCTGCCCTACCAAAAATAGTCTAAACCAGCCCGCAGCCTTGTGAGCAAACCGATACACTCCAGCAGTCGCTCGCCAAGCTGGTTGAGAGGCTTTCTGTGGGAGCAAACGTGTCTTTCCTGGCTTACACTTAAAACACTCACCACTTAACAGGATATCTCTGCCCTCTTAATTAGCTAATACCTCCCCTCCAAACTGACCGGCACTTGTGATGAGCCCAGGTGACCTCAGTTACTAGGAAACCACACCGGATGTTTCATTTCATACAGCTATTCCAGGATTTTTGAGCATGTGCGTAGTCAAGTGATCCCATCAGAAACGGTTGGAACTAGTCTATAGAATCACTTCCTTGATTCTTCCAAGCCATCAGTGTCCCCTCAGGTGTCCCGCCCGGTGTCTTTCAAAGTAGTTGCGTTGGTTTTTGCGTATCACAAACCTTCAGAAGTGCAGCATCAGATCTCCCATCTCCTAGGCGGCACATGATCCACACCTGTGGAGCCTGTTCGCACCAGTACTCAAAGGCTTTCAACTACTCGTGCCAACCGTGCAGTACACAGACCTGGGCGCTTTTGAGGTGCACGAGTTACCTTTACAGTTGCTTTTAACCCTGAAGCATGTCAGCTAACCAAAGGCCCACTTCACATTGTCGATTGTACACGTATGGGTTCCCCGAGTAAGTGTTGGTTTTTCCATCACTTTTTTTCAAGCGCAGCCGGATCCATTATATGTTTCCAGTCTGGGCCCGCAAGCCTAAGTCTGAGCAGAATATGACACAGCTGCCCAGTGCTTGTGAAATTACTTATTTTCTTCACCCTGCAGCCTACCAACCGCAAGTATCCACCTCGTACGCAGCAAATATAAGGTAACACAGAAACAGAATCTGCCCAGAATGTTGCCCGGGCAAACGGCCATCTTAATCCTTTTCGCACAGGTGTGAAGACTTCTACAGCCCTACACAGCAGCGCTCGACTCTTGTTCAAAGAGAGAGAAATTTTATCACTGCTACTCATGGCCTTACTCTTATCACCGTAAAGTCACTATCCGCTGTTCAGCTTCAGGGTTTGTGAGGATTTATTTATTGATTTGAGGATGGTATTCACCATGGGCTGACGTCGGCTGGTAGGACACTGGAAACCTGGAAGCACGGGACAGCTAATAATAATACACTTATTTCATACGACATCCTAGAATGGGACTCCTTAGGAGTGTGCACTCATGATCCATTGGGGATCTAGCCCACGACTTTCAGGTTCCTTTACCAGCACGTTACCAACAGGCCAATGGGTCGGGATTCACTATTCCAAATTTCCTCTTTCTGTCAGTCCATGGTGTAGCACGACTTGTACGTGATGCGTAACTGATTAACTGGACTCACGTTTGACTGGCAACAACGTCTCGTCAGAACAGAAGGAACCATCACCTTTTCCTCGTTCTTTACTTGTACGTAGATTCGCGTCAACGAGAAGTGGTGGCGCAAGGATTTTAGATGCGGAAGTCAGTTAGGCGGAAGCATCTTGTATTTCGTCAACAACCATTTGGACGATGTGACTAGCTTTAGGGAGTGGTTTCTGTTGTTCTAAAGGGAAGTTGTTGCTAGTGGGGCCTACCAGTCAAACGTGAGTCCAGTTAATCAGTTACGCGTCACGCACAAGTCGTGCTACATCATGGACTGGCAGAAGGAGGAAGTTTGGAATGGTGAATCCCAACCCATTGGCCTGTTGGTAACGTGCTGGTAAAGGAACCTGAAAGTCGTGGGCTAGATCCCCAATGGGTCATGAGTGCACACTCCTAAGGAGTCCCATTCTAGGATGCAGCAGATGTCCCGTGCTTACTGGTTTCCAGTGTCTCACCAGCTGATGTCAGTCCATGGTGAATACCACCCTCAAATCAATTGAAAAGTCGCCACAAACGTCAAAACTTGATTCCGGAAATGTCTAACTGGCCCGGTCAGAAGCTATAAGTGATGCTGTAGTACTTCACTGTGGGTCTAAGAAGCTCGGAGCTCCAGGCTGCTACCAAAAATGCTACAAGTACAGAACAGCACCGAAAACAACTCATTTCTGGGGGCCAACGATTATTTGTACGATTGATAACAGTGTCACAACTTAAACGCCTAGTTCTGATCTGATTATTCCAAAGCCCAGAATGAGTTAACGAACGTGAAACTCCGCGGCGGGGAACCAACGCGAGGAAAACTGTGGCAATCAAAAATGTGTAACTGTTCCAATGTCGGAACACACCGACAGAACATTCTCTGATTTCACAAATATACTTCGGCTAAAAAAGTATTGCTTGCCGCTTTCATTATGTTAATTTTCCGGAAGGGTGACTATCTGTAAGATGAAGAGCAAGGCAGTGCGGCTTGTTATCGCTTCAGCGGAGCGGGTCATTTTGAATTATCAAAGGACAATGGCCGACATCAAGACGAACAACCACCATCATCTCGCTATGAACGGCTGTATGAACAGAAAGAAAGAATGGCATGCAACGACCATAATATAACTGTAAGCTTTTCTGTCGCTAATCCGCACCCAAAGCGAAACTATCCCGTAGTAAGTTCCAGCGGCCTCTAAGTTGAAATCGTTCAAAAGTCTGTGAGACCACCAGGGGTTTATGATGTAGGAGAATCTCACACCTCACTAGATGAGGATGTTTATATGTCTTCCTTAAGCTTGCAAAATATTATCTTATATTAGCTAATCTTTGCTCTACATGAACGCTTACCATCTCACAAAGGTGCAGGTATTCCCCTTATTTATGCTGTAACCTGCCTGGTGACTAGAAGTGGGATCCAGGATGTGCATCTCATCCTATTTGGGACTCGTCGGTTTGATGTACCTGAGACCCAGCGAGTGATGTCGCTTCCACCGAGGCCTACCCCCAGTGCCCATCGCATCAAACGACAAAGGATCATTTACTTAGCCAACGGGCATGAGAACAACCCCCCGCGCAACGAGTATCAGCTGTTATTGGATGCCTGTTTTCTTCCATTGCGCTGGAGGTGGCCTTCATTTCCCAGTGGCATGGTGAATAATCCTGTGTTTGAGACGATGGGTACTGGGTTGGAGTCACGGGGGAAGTAACGTCGCTGACTTGAGTGCAGAAACACCCAGCTGGTGAATCTCAAATAGAATGAAATGCGCACCTAGGATTCCACTGCTAACGCCTATGCAGACCGCAACAGAATGAGTGATCGGGCAGCACAGGGGCTCTGGCGTGGGAGCCCACCTTCTGAGTGAAGCTGAGTATTTCGACGTAGTCAGCAGGGAGAGAATACAAGTACCGGATAAAAACATTCCTCTCTCCATTATTTGAATAAATCAGCATCAAATACTCACTTCTTTTACACCAGTTCCCGAATGTCGACGTCTAACGTCAAAAGATACGCATACATACCACAAGAACATATTCTGAAACAAACGCAACTGAAGAAACTGACCCACATGACGAAAAGCTACGAAATATCCTGTTTTGCTTTTCTTAACGCGCTGAGAGTATCTTAAAATGAATTCTTATGGTGATTCAATCGGAGTCGAGGCTGAACTTCCAGGACATAAGTAACAACTATGGTCTGGCCGTCCAGAGCCTATGCACGCAGTTGTTGCTGCAGGTTGAATGAATTACCTAGCAGTTATTCAGCTTCCCCACTGGATCAACAAGCCAACCAATAAGATGGGTTTGCATTTTTTGGCAAACTAAACTACGGAGGAAAGCTCAGGTCGAAGTGAGGTGGAAACATGAGAAAATGTGTTGATTGAGAAGGGAAACTTGAAGACTGGAGACGCGAAAATTTTGTGAAAGGGGGATGAAAATGGTAGATATTTTTGATTTTCTCGTAGCTGGGGCTTATTTGGAAGCGCAGAGCTTCATCGGTTTCCCTTTTAAACTCTGAATTTTGACACAAAAAATACGCTGGGAAAACAAAGACATGGGAGCGAAAGGATTTGTGCTTCAGTGCAGTAATCAGAACCGAACAAAAAAGACTTTAGTTTCAGACCCAGACCTAAGAGTTAGAGAAACAACAGGCTACCAAAAACAGCGACAAATCTTTCTACGCCCTAAGGTTTTTCAAATCTTGGAAAGCCCTTCCGGCGAAAGTGCTGCGCGACACTTTGTTTGAATCCTTCTGATATTGTCTTCAAAACTACTTACGCCATGGGTGGGTGGTAACTCAAAACTAACGCACATTTCCTAATTTAAACGGAATACCCTCCCTGTCTTTGTCGGTTCATTGATCAAAAACAACACAACTTGTGACGCTAAAACTCTAAACACAGAACTGCTGTGAGTGAAAGCTTTTCCTATCGTCTTACTGACTATTTGAGTTGGGAACCACTACAAGCATCTATGTCACGATTCGCGCCAAGTTCGTCCTCAAGGTCAGTCGTGTTGCATATCAGCGATAGACTAATTTAGACATTATTTTATATACTGTGGTGTCACTAAACTTCGTCTAGCTTATGTAGTACACTTTTCGAATTTCAGTTTGAGATTTTCTTAGAGTTCTCCTAAACTTTCGATATGGTATCTAGTAGGTTGTCGGTACATTTCCCATTCAAATGGTTTAAATGGTTGCTGACAACAGCATCGGGTTTGCGCGCACCTTGGGAAGTTTAGACATTATCCTACACCTTCTTCAATAGCACTTACGAACCTGGAGAAGTCTCCATGCATCTGATACATTGAAATCCATTCTACTACCAAAAAGGAATGTTATTTCAAAGCAGTATACATACTCCTTCGAATATATGTATTTCAAAGTATCACTTTGTGAACTGCGATACTGTGATTCTTCATGGACTTTGGGTACAATGTCGAAACTCTAAGGTACCAGGGACTTTTGACAGTTTCGTGGGGGAACCCTCAGTTTTTCGGATGAAATATTGCACGTCCCCACGTGCGCCTTATTGGTTTTTCAGAATTTTTTATCCAATACTCTGAAAGTACACCTAAGGGAAATGACGACTGAGTTAAATTAAAGAAGCTCATAGCGATGGCTAGTAATTAGTATTATAGGATATCTGCTATCATGTCGTAGCGTTCTAATGGCTTTTTTCATGCCATAGTATGTGCCAACAACTAGTCAGTAGCGTTGCTAACAAAACCTATCCCGGTTATCAAGGTAGGCGGTATCTGAACCTTTTTGCCCAGCTACTTGATCATTTGTCAGCTGTTTTCCCTGGGGCGATAGTTGTGTTGTTTTAAAGATAGATGCACCATACAGTAAAGACCTAACTAGTAACGACTACAGACCATATGCAAATCTCCCAAAGATAACTTTTGACGTCGAATATTTCCTGAGTTTTTTCTAAACTGGGAAGGTCTAATCATCTAATTTTATTTCTGATGCACATTTATAAAAGGTTCATATTCTCCGATTTCGCCAGCTCAGTCAATTGGGTGTACATCGAAGGATTCCTGGGAAAGCCTTAAGAGTAGAATCTGGGCAATAAGTGACTTATTGTCGCCGTAGAGAACTACCATGACAAAGAAATCCATACAAGTTGTCTTAGGTTAACTTGGAAATATCAATGATACTCAGTTCTTACCAAATGTGTGGAGTTAATAATATAATTGAGATAACTCAACCCTATATATGCTTTCGCACTAGACTATAACCCAAACCTCTTGTGAGGGCTTACAATACTACTGGGTTGACAAGGTTGAATGAATTAGTGTATTTTGAACTCAGTTGTTTGAAAGTCAGTTTCATAAGCCATGAACCACACCTTCACGACAAAGGAATACTAATTTTTCTACTCTATGTTTTATATTACGCACTTTACGATGAAATGCGTTTATTTTAATGTTAGGAGTCCCATCGGTCATTTCTAACTCACTTTACAGATTGTTGGTTGTCACTGAATCTAGTGGACTTGAAGAATGAAAATCACATTTAAAGGGTATACATGATCTTAAGAAGCCAGACAGACTGCAGCAGCATGAATAGTTAGTTTAGTGATATCAGAGAAACCTTAGTAAGAGTGTTGTTACAGACACTCCTAGAGGTGTGTGTGTGTGTCCATGTTATCGGGGCTTCAGAGTCAGACAAAAAGGCGTCAGAAATTGTCAACGTAATTCGCGGGAATGTTTCACGAATACATACTATAATCTTTTGAGACTTTTGCCAGCTCATTAAATCAGACCATATAAGTAATCAAATAGTCCGAAGTTAGTCGAGTTGACTAATCGATACTAGCATAAAAATTCCATTTGAATATTGCTGAGGTAGTAAGGAAATAGCAAAGAATGGGAACCTGAGTCAACGGACATAAACGGTATTAGCAGTAATTTGCCCATGTACTGTATTGATCATGGGTTAACTGAAAGATAGATATTTTTAACGTGTGATAGCAGTTGTACTATATTCTCGCTCAGAGGTCGTTGATACGCGTGTAACCTATGCGATATTTCCTGAAAGACTTGTTTTTGCTATTATATTGCCGGTAAGTCAGAAATAAACTGACTGCAGAACTAACCTCGAGTTGTGTAAAAAAAACAAATTACATTCAAGCGTCCTTACCCCCATTAACAACTGACCCAATTCGATCAAATAGTTCTAGTAAATACCACATGAATCTAATTATTACTTCAACTCATCCTACTGTTTAATGCTTTGTCTGTTTCTGCCATGTTATTGGTTGCTCAAACTCAATCGTTGATGGGGTCACCGTTATCTGACAACTAGGTTAGGCAGCTAGCTGCAGGATAAGTCGAGTGCACCGAAAAGGATCTTAAAGTAGTTTTTAGGTAACAGCGAAAAGGTATATTTCTTGACAGTTTGTGCAATTTGTGGCTTAAATGCCAATACTGGATCAGATTCGCTTATTAAGACTAGAAGCTTTTGGTAAATTAGGATAAAAGATAGACGAATAAAGAGGAAGGATCTCCAAAATTGCTGAATTTTGAGTGAGACATCGGAAACAAGTCGAGTTGCACGTCTGGCGAATTGAGAAGAAATGCAGTTTGATTTCCTGAACTTCAGTCACTGTAGGAAAAATGTATAGAAAATGGATATCCCACTGCACCCCCTAGTATTACGAACATGAGTAAATAATCGTTATCTCTCGAACAATACGTAGTATAGTGAAGTTGTGGCTCATTGGTTTGGGTTAACTGACTGACAAAATCAATGTAGGACCTCACATACAAGTGTATTGGCTCAAGTCACACTTCACATTAGTTAGTACATGAAGAACAGATGGATAGTAAAAGACTGATATCAAGGAAGATGAAATAGTGTGAGAGAATAAGCAATCTGAAGATGAAGGTTAGAATATGTTAAGGAGTATATACATGTGCGCCATTTTGACCGATTTTCAGACGTCACTAAGAGTCCTCAACCGCTGATTCTTTCCGTCTGGACGACCCCAACCAGGTAGTCTACATCACTCCACATTACAGGTTAACAGTGAGAGGCTTCATTGACTAGTACCGTGTCTTGATCTGGCCACCCTGAAATTCCCAACGCAATCCAACTTCCCCAACATAGCACGTCGAGGTACATGATGGCTTCGCACGCGCAACGCATGTCCAAGTCATTTCAGCCGACCAAAGTTCACAATCTCACCAATCGATTTGCTTGTCTTGCCTAGTACCCTTCGCCTGATCTCAATATTGCTCACTCGGAGAATCCGTCAAACGCGAGCAATTCTACGAACACATGTGGTCGAAACCCAGTAATCTTTTTGTGTATTCGACTTTTAAGGTCATGTCTCACGACCGTACAACAGAACGGAGCGGACTGCAGCACAGTATGCTCGTCCTTTGATGGATAGTCCGATATCTCGCCGGCTCCACAGATGACACAAGTTTGCAAATGGCAAACAGGTCTTCGGTATCCAACTGAGATTTCGTCAGAAACAAAACCGTTCAAGCTGATGCAACTCCCCAAGTAAGTGAAGTGGTCGACACATCTATTTCACTCCCTATTATTTAACTGGGAGTGGTTGTAGCAGACCATTCCTGAAGCACCTTCTTACATCTAACAGGTGCAAAACGCATCCCAAACATACTCAGATTTTAGCTCAACGCGTCAAGAAGACCCTGCATTTGGTCAGCGTTATCACCTAGCAGGACAATATCGCATGCATTCACCAAGTCAATCAGATGATCAATCCCTGTAGAGTCAGACGTACCTAAAGTTATGCCCATTAGTACGTCTATAATGGAGTTAGGCAGCGACGGTGACAGAAGGCAGTCTTGAAGAACACCAATACTTGTCATGAATTCGCGTGACAACTCTCCACATGGCCTTGTGAGTTCGTGTAGAGATGTTTTGTTAGCGTTATACACTTGATTGGTGCTCCTTTCACAGCCAGAAACTGCCACAACATCTCACAGTCGACAGTCTTACGCCAACTTCAGGTGAAGAAATATGGCAAGTGTCAACTGCAGTTAGATATTCCTGTGTTCCAGGACCTGTCGGAGGGTAGAAATGTGGTTGATGCACCTTCGTCCAGTTTTGTCTGAAACCTGCCTGGTTTTCTCGAGCTCTGGTCACGCGTCGGATAACTATGGACCCTAGGCTCTTGGACACTGTTAATCAAACTAACTCCACTATGGTTGTCACCAGATTTCTCCCACCTCTAATAGACTGGAATGGACAGTAAAGTACACTAGTCAGACGGCACTACCTCTGATTCCCATACTCTACCTAGTAACCCCGTTGTCAACGAATTTCGCCTACACCCATTCTTAAAAGCGTCCATTAGCAAACTGTCAGGTCCTGCTGCTTTACATCGTTTGGGGTTTGAAACAATCTGTTCAACTCCGAGGAGATTTGGAGGACAGACTTCTACGTCTCATTCAGGTTCAGGCTGAATGTTGGGCAAATAAAAGGTTGTTGAGGGCCAGTTGAACTAGGCTTCAAAGTGTTCTGCCCAACGTTTTAGCCGTCTGTCGTGGGGTGTTATCAACCTTCCATCCTTTTCGGCGTAGGCATCCACGAGCCCGTACTAACGCTTGATCAGAGTTCAGACCGGTACTCTAGAAAGAGCGACAATCCTCCACTTGTCCTCTCCAACCATGGCTTATAGCATAGGATCTTATTGTGTCCATCGTTGGTTTGATGTCGGCGGACGCCGTGTGAGGCAATGTCTCTTCTTGGTGTCCAGTGGAGAACAGCAATTTCTGCCCTATAACTCACTGCTTCTTGAGGTACCTGAAAAAGAAGAGATACTATGTGACCGCTGGCTTAGAAACATCTGCTTGGGGCTTCTCACACGACCTTTTGACAATTTTGGTTTTTCGCTTTTGAATCCGACTACGAATCCTTGTTGCAAGCGTCGACATGCTGCTAGGGGTTAGGGAAGGCAGCATCAATGTAGCTTTGCTGGTCATCTGAGGGAAACACCTTGCCACTGCCACACTCTATCCA